CCATTTGCTGGCTCACTCTCCATGTGCCAGTAATGATTGGAATTGGGCCAGGCTGAAGTTAGGAGATAGGAATTCAATCCAAGTGTCCTGTATGGGTGACAGGGATCCAACTACTTGAGCCATCTGTTATGCATTCTTTTTGTTGTATATTTTTAACTAATTTTTATTAATATAAAGTGAAGATGTTTTGTGTATTTTATATTTACAGATGTAGGAGCACATTGATACTTCCCACTCTGCCCTCTTTCCTGCCCATGCTCTCACCATCCATCTTCCTTCATTTCTTATGTTTTAATTTTTACAATGAAATAACTTCAGTTTATTTTATAATCATAAGATTAATCCTCTACCAAGTAAATAATTCAATAAAAGGTGAAAAAAGCACTGTTCCACAACAGTAAAGCCAAGAGCTATAAACAATAATCAATTCTCAAAATGTTCATTTTGTAAATATGTTACATTTTTTTGGTATTCTATTAGTTACCACAGATCAGAGAAAATATGGTATTTGTCTTTTAGGGAATGGCTTATTTCACTAAGGATATTGGTTTCCAGCTGCATCCATTTTGTTGTGAAAGACAGGATTTCATTCTTTTTTATGGCTGAATAGTATTCCACCATGTATATATTCCACATTTTCTTTATCCAGTGATCAGCTGAGGGACTTCTGGATTGAATCTTGTTTTAGCTATAGTGAATGTAACTGCTGTAAACAGGGAGGTATCGATAACTCTTTCATATGCTGACTTCATTTCACTTGGGTAAATTCCCAAGAGTGGGATGGCTGAGTCATATGGCAGATCAATCAAATTTTTGAGGAATCTCCATACAGTCTTCCATAATGGTTATACTAGTTTACATTCCCGCCAATAGGGTACCTTTTCTGCATATCCTTACCAGCATTTGTTATCTTTTGACTTTTAGAGAAAGCCATTCTAACTGGAGTGAGGTGAAATTCCACTGTGATTTTTAATTGTATTTCCCTAATGGCTAGTGAGCTTGACCATTTCTTCATGTGTCTCTTGGTCATTTGTTTTTCATCTTTGAAAAATGTCTGTTCATGCCCTTTGCTGTTTTAAAACTGGATTGTTTATTTTGTTGTTACTGAGTTTTTTGACCTCCTTATATATTCTGGATATTAATCCTTTTTCAGATGTATAGTTTGCAGATTTTTTTTTTCCATTCTTTTGGTTGCCTTTTTATTTTCTTGAGTGTTTGCTTTGTAGTGCAGAATCTACTTAGCTTGATGTAATCCCATTTCTCTACTTCTACTTTATTGCCTGTACTTTTAGGGTCTTTTCCAAGATGTTGTTGCCTATATCAGTGTCTTAATGTGTTTCCCCTGTTTTCCTGTAGTAATAGGGTGATTTGGGGTCTTAAGTTTAGATACTTTTCCCATTATGAGTTGATTTTTGTATAAGATGTAAGGTAGGGTTTTTTTTGTTTTGTTTTTGTTTTTGTTTTTTGACAAGTAGAGTTACAGACAGAGAGAGAGAGACAGAGAGAAAGGTCTTCCTTCCATTGGTTCACTCCACAAATGGCTGCTACGTCCGGCGCTGTGCCGATCCGAAGCCAGGAGCCAGGTGCCTCTTACTGGTCTCCCATGCTGGTGCAGAGCCCAAGCACTTGGGCCATCCTCCACTGCCTGCCCAGGCCACAGCAGAGAGCTGGACTGGAAGAGGAGCAACCGAGATTAGAACCCGGCACCCATATGGGATGCTGGCGGTGCCACAGGCAGAGGATTAACCAAGTGAGCCATGGCAACGGCCCAGGGATGTTGTTTTATACTTCACACAGAGATCCAGTTTTCCCAACAACATTTGTTGAAGAGTCTTTGCTTTCTCTATGGTGTGATTTTAGCTTGTTTGTCAAAGAGTAATTGGTTGTAGGTGGGTGGATTAATATCTGGGTTCTCTCATCTGTTGCATTGGTCGTTGCACATGTTGTCTTTTGTGCCAGTACCAGGCTGTTTTGATAATTACTGCCTTGTAACATCTCTTGAAATCTGGAATTGTGATGCCTCTGGTTTTGTCTTTATTGTTTAAGGTTGCTTTGGCTTTTGGGATTCTCTTGTGCTTCCATATAAAGTTTAGTTCTTTTTTTCTAGATCCAAGAAAATTTTGGTTGGGATCAGATTGAATCTGTAGATTGCTTTACATAGTGTGGGCATTTTTATGATAATAATTCTTCATGAACATAGAAGATTTTTCCAATTTTTTCATCTTCTGTTTCTTTCTTTAACATTTTTTTAATTTTCATTGTTAGATCTTTCATCCCCTTGGTTAAATTTATCCCAAGGTATTCAAAATTTTTATAGCTATTGTGAATGGAACTGATCTTACAAGTTCTTTCTCAGCCATGACATTGTTTGTGTATACAAAAACCATTGATTTTTGTGTGTTCATTTTATATCTGGAAAGCTTTTTGGATCCCCTATGTGTAGAATCATGTCATCTGCAAACAGGGATAATTTGACTTCCTCATTCCAATTTGTATCCCTTTGTTTTTTTTTTCCCCAATGGCTCTGGCTAAAACTTACAGAACTATATTGAATAGCAGTGGTGAAAGTGAACATCCCTGTCTGGTTCTGTATTTTAGTGGAAATGCTTCCAGCTTTTCCCCACTCAATATGGTACTGGCTATGGTTTGTCATAGATAGCCTTGACATAGACCAATATCCCTGGTGAACACAGATGCAAAAGTGCTCAACAAAATACTGGCTAACTGAATACAGCAGCACATCCAAAAACTATATCCACCTGGAGCAAGTGGGATTCATTCCAGCAATGCTGGGCTGGCTCAACATATGCAAATCAGTAAATGTGATATAACACATTGATGAAGAATAAAAACCATAGGAGTTTCTCAAATAGATGCAGAGAAAGCTTTTGATGAAATACAACGTCCTTTCGTAATTTAAAAAAAGTGAAACAAATTAAGTATAGAAGAATGTTGCTGCTAAACCAACCATTAGGCTACCCTTGTGATACTGGCCCAATTTTATAAAGTCACTGTTTCGCTATGAACTAAATCTTGGTAATTATGATCTTGGTGCATTATTGTAGATAAAAGTGCAGACATCTTTGTCAACATAATCCTTGTATCAGTGATATTTTTTTTCACTTCTTTGGAAATTTTACTTCATCCCATTCAGGCTTGAACTTTTATTTTTAAGTATTTCTGAAGTTCCATCATATACACATGTACAGAGTAAGATATGTGTGTATATGTATGTATAATGACAATTATTTTATCAACTATTAAATTATCCAGAATAACTCATTTAATAGTTTAAATAAATGAGATAACTGGAAGCATGTCTCTGTTTTTAAATGTATTTTTGCAAAAGACACCTGATGATACTAATTATATCACCCATATATTCATAACTATGATATTGAGTAGACTGATTTTTAAAAGACTGATTCTTATTATCATTTAGAATCACCCCTTAACTGTCTAAATACTTCGCTAATTTTTTCATTTCTCCTAAATGCTATTATAAAGACACATTGCCTATAGTTTCTTTGTGGGTAGAGATTGATGGAGAGTCAAAAAATGACTGAACTCATCTTATCCCTATCAACAATGGCCACCTGCATGTTTTTATACTGACTTTCAAATATCAGCTTCTATTTCAATAGAAACTGCTTCTATTTTCCCTTGTCCAGATACTCAACCAATGCAAGGTAACTGTACAGAAACTTTTGTGGTCATTTGTTTAGAAAAGTTCTCAAAATTACAGTTTCCAAATATCTCAGTATGCAATCTGTGTGTGGTTGAATGAGAATCTAGCTGCTACGACTTTCTTGAACCCATTAGGAAAAACAGAAACTTTGCAATCACATATATGCAGGAGTCACAAACAAGTGTGATGAAGAAGACATTGATGCACTTCACTTTCACGAAGGCAGTCACTCCTCCCCATTCTTTACCAGAAAATGATACCGTGTTGCACGAGGTTGTCCCTTCTGCAGTCCCTCCAATCCTCTCACTCCCGCTGATTCTGGTGCTTCCAGCAGGGTCTGAGCTGCTACACCATCCTCCCTGCAGGTCACTTGGCTTTCCCATTCATCATTTTGAGGAAACACTCCAGTGTGAGTTTCCTGCAGTAGTCTCTGGTTTTCTCCGTCAGAATCCCAATATGTAATTTGATGCCTCATGAGAAAAGTTCAAGAAGTTCATGGAAAATGGAATTAAAAGATAAATTTATTTTTTGGTGCAAAAAATATTGGAATCCATGCATAGGTTTCTCATAATACACATTTCCAGGAATGTTTTAAAGGCCCTTCCTATGTGTGGATTTCAAGATTTCTTTGCATCAAAATAAGGATGTTTTAATTCTTTTACTGTTATATGTTGAATTACTCTCATATATGTCATTATAGAAATAAGATATATAAAAATTACCTATGGAAATCTCACCACTTCAGAGTCAAATAACCATTCTCTAAATCTTTTTATTTCTTGGTGTACTGAAATTTCCTTTATTCCAAACATAATTGGCATAAGTACAATCTTGGGTATGTTATTTTTGTAGGTAATAATATTAAAAGTGTTCATTAGGTCCCTGATAGAAATGAATTACCGCACTCAATCCCGACAACATGCCTAATAATGTTACATTGTGATCTAATCAATATTATCTGTACCTATTTTTATTATCTAGAATTCAATGACTCCCATTATCTTTACTTTCTTTCTTTGAACCTATTGTTATGGCTTACTGAGTATTGTTGGTTTGTGAATTTAAAGAATCTCCAGGAATTCAAACCATTTTCAATATTGTTAGTTGCCTTTTAAATAATTTTTAAAGAGGAAGAAACAATTCATCTTTAAGCTAATTCTCTTTCCTACAACTTGAAGTTGTACAGAGTCCATTTTATGTATACGTAAATTGGGGTGATTTGTGCTGAGCTATGTGTCTCTCTACTCCAGAAGAAGCGAGTGACACGAAGAGTGTGAAATGCCTTTATCTTGTTCTCTTTCACCGTTCACAGGATGATCCCTTCTCTGCCCTGGACATCCACTTAAGTGATCACCTCATGCAGGAGGGGATTTTGAAATTTCTTCAGGATGACAAAAGGACACTCGTTCTTGTGACTCACAAATTGCAATACCTGACCCATGCTGACTGGGTAAGTGGAGAGGAAAGCTTTGATCACGTTTCTGTTGTCACCCTATACATCCTCAAATGTAGAAACAGTAACAAATGCTTTGTAAAGTAATTCATTTGGCCCAGCAAGGCGTTGTGCCCCATTTCTGCTAATATATGCTCTTCCTAGATCATAGCTATGAAGGATGGAAGCGTACTCCGAGAGGGAACTTTGAAGGACATTCAAACCAAAGATGTGGAGCTCTACGAACACTGGAAAACACTCATGAACCGTCAGGATCAGGAATTAGAGAAGGTGAATGTTCGTGGTTTGAAGGAGTCCAGCCTGTGCTAAATAATCACCAAGAATGCTTTCAGAGTTTCACGTCTAATGCTTGGTAGTAGAGTGGTCCTCATCGGAAGTGCAGAACAATTTTATTTTGAGATAGCATTGACGATCAGGCTCCTCAGAACCCATGGTCCTAGTGTGATCTTTTGGATGAAGTACTGCTGGGCTTCCACAGGATTCTTAAATGAATCTGACCAATATTGGCAATATTATGTTCCTCTAAAACGGCAGGCAAACTATTTGCTGAAGTGTCATGTTTCCTCATTTTTGCCTATTTCTAACTTATTTTTCTCATCTGTAATATGAGAATTTTTTTTTTTTTTGCTCTTTGCCTACCTAACAAGAGGGTCATGGACAAGACCAGCATCAAGCAAATTTTGAAAGACTGAAGAGCTGTAGTTGTGAAGTTAGAATTCATGTATCAGATAGGGTGGAGGGTAAAAGCAGGAAATCAGAAAGAAGGAAAGATAGAATTTCACATTTGTTCAGCTGTTTGTAGAGTACATAAATTGTTTTTTTTTACACAGTCTTACTTAGTTCTTTGAAAATCCATTAGAAATAAGCAAAGAAAATATCTCACTTTTACAGATGAGTAAACAGAGTTACTTAAGTAACTTAAGCTTTGACTGAAGTTGCACAATACCTCTGATAAATGGTACCATGGAATTTCAACCCAGGTCTACATCCAGTGTTATCCCAGTGTAATGCTATTGCATTGAATGAGGTGATAACAGAGTTGGAAACTGGATGGAGTATGACTGGTGGTTAAGAGATGAAATGGTAAATTTTCAAAATGTTTGTTCTTGAGTTCAGATAAGAAAGAGACCAAAACTTGGTATTCCTGGCCAGGAGCAAGCATTATAAAATGAAATGTTTGTGTCAGCAAATTTCTAAAAAAAAAAAAAAAATTAGGAAATTAGAGTATCCTGTTTTAGAGAGAGAAAAAAGGATCTATGTTTCCATAGAGAGAGAAAGATTGAAAAGCCAAACATATCCAGGAATATCTATATCGTCTGTGGCGATCTTAAAAGCAAACCACACCAAGAAAAAAGATAGATGAAAAAAATCTGTGAGTAGTGTAGGACAAATCAGAGAACTGTTCAAAGGAGGCTGTTTGGCAAAAAAAAAAAAAAAAAAAAAAAAAAAAAAAAAAGGCATTACAAGGTACATTCAGCAAGTGCCCACTGAGGAATTGTGCTATGAGAAGCTTGATTATAAACATACTGGAGAAGGCTCCAAATGACATTTTTTTCAGTGATCTAAATGCCAGGGACAAAAGAATATGATGTAAGCTTAAGGAATGGGACAATTTATGGTTTACTTTGGAAAGAAAATCTGGAAAAAAAATGAGAGCTGTTGGCTCAATATTATAGTAATACCGTTAAGCAAGCCAGGAAGAAAGTCCATTAAGTTGTATTTAGAAATGAAGTGATCACTTGAGATAGCATAGCTCTATAATTAAAGACACATTCCTGGGTTGTAAATCAACAGAAGGAGATATAGAGCAACTTAGGGTATGGACAGGGTAAGTCAGTTGTGAGGTAGAATGGAGCCAGAAGAAACCAGAATGAATCTAGCACCTGCTATGAATTCGTTTCTGGGGATGGAAGGAGTTACTGACACCTGTCACAAAGAAGGCACCAGATTTCATCTGCAGCCAGGGAGTCGCACTGTGGGAGTAAGAATACTTAGAGGGAAGTCTCTAAAAATTGTTTTTTAAGAGGTAAAGTTGGGGGAGGAAGGAGAGAGAAGGAGGGAGAAATCTTACCTGCTGACATGGCTAAGCCAGACCTGGAGCCAGGAAAGCAATCCAGGTTTTCCACGTGGGTAGCAGAAACCTAGTGACTTGAGCCGTCATCCCTGACTCCAAGGGTCTGCATTAGCAGGAAACTGCAGTCGGGAGCCAGAGCTGGGATTCCAACCTAGGTGCTATGATGTGGGAAATGGGCGTCTGGATGAGCATCGTCATGGCTAGACCAGATGCTCACACCTGTTGTGGACGTTTTTGTAGAGACACATTCTTGTTCAGTTTATCTTGACAGGACAGGGTGTTTACCTCCCAATCAGGGCCATTTCTGCCTCCTGGAGAACACACAGCTGCATCAGCTGAGAGCTGACTGTCCTACTTGGTGCAAGGGATGCCCCGGGCTTGAGTGGGTAGGGGAAGGAATGCTGCCCCACTTCCTGCAGTACAGAGCGCGCCTCCACAGCACCCAGGCATCCGGCTCCATGTCACTAGCACCAAGGCCAGGAGAGCCCGGCTTTGAGCCAGAACAGTGAAGGAGGAGGATGAACACTGAAGAGCTCCCAGACCTCCTGTGTCAGGGCTTTGGAGAGAACTGTCACTTTAGGGGTTAAGGAATAGGTGGGGAAAGTATGTTTAAAAAAAGGATAATAACAGGGGCCAGCATTGTGGTGCAGCTGGTTAGGCCTCTGCTCGGGACTAGGATATGTCACATCTGAGTGCCATTTTGAGTCCCAGCTCTTCCACTTCTGATCCAGCTGCCTGCTAAAACACCTGGGAAGGCAGATGACCCTGCCAGCTACATGGGGACCCAGGTGGGGTTCCCAGCTCATGGCTTCAGTCTGGCCCCACCCTAGCTGTTGCAGCCATTGGGGAGTGAACCAGTGGATGAAAGATTCTCTCTCTCTGTCTGTCTCTGTCTCTCCCTCTCTGTCACTCTGCCTTTCTCTTAAATAAATAGTTTTTTTAAAAGATTTATTTATTTATTTGAAAGGCAGAGTTACACAGAGAGAGGAGAGACAGAGAGAGAAAGGTCTTCCATCCGATGGTTCATTCCCCAGATGGCTGCAAATGCCAGAGTGCCAATCCGAAGCCAGAAGCTAGGAGCTTCCTCTAGGTCTCCCACATGGGTGCAGGGGCCCAAGGACTTGGGCCATCTTGTACTGCTTTCTCAGGCCACAGCAGAGAGCTGGATGGGAAGAGTAACAGCAGGGACTAGAACCGGCGCCCATATGGAATGCTGGCGCTTCAGGCCAGGGCATTAACCCACTGCACCACAGCGCTGGCCCCAAATAAATAGTTTTTAAAAAGAGACAGTAATGGAAAACTGCAGATAAAGAGATACCATTTTTAGCTGATTTAAATATTAAGGATTGTAGTTTGAGTGACATTAACCATAAATTTTGCAATGTTATTCAGCAGAATAAACCAGTATTGTATTGTTGTATGCTCTGCACTCCTCTGCCTTCACCTTGGCCTGGCCTGGGAAATACGTATTGGATAAATGGAACTAAGTTTGTATTTATTTAATTAAATATAAACACAATGTAAAATACCTGACTTATAATGGGGTTAATAGAGCATTTATGTTTAAGAAATATTGCTTTAAAGATTTCTACTCCCTCACCCCCCACCACCAAAAAAAAGTCTCCATAATGTTAAATTTTTCACTTACGGCTGGTGCCATGGCTCACTAGGCTAATCCTCCGCCTGTGGCGCTGGGACACTGGGTTCTAGTCCCAGTCGGGGCACCGAATTCTGTCCCAGTTGCTTCTCTTCCTGTCCAGCTCTCTGCTGTGGCCCGGGAGTGCAGTGGAGGATGGCCCAAGTCCTTGGGCCCTGCACCCGCATGGAAGACCAAGAGAAGCACCTGGCTCCTGGCTTCGGATCAGCACAGGTGCGCTGGCCACAGCGCGCTGGCTGCAGCGGCCATTACGGGGGTGAACCAGCTGAACAAGGAAGACCTTTCTCTCTGTCTCTCTCTCTCTCACTGTCCACTCTACATGTAAAAAAAAAAAATTCACTTACACAGCATGGGCAGTTGAACCAGAACCAAATCTCTTTTTCATCCTATTACATGATACACAAAATGGATCCTTTCTTAATTTCCTGTTTTATGTAGTCTCCTTCACTAAAGTTTTCCTGTCCTTAGACAGTATTAAAGACTTGTGTGAAATGGTCTCTGCAAAATGCTGTTCAGGAATCATTTTTACTTTTACCTTTACAACCAAGGATCTGGAAGGAAAAGAGCCTTCTAGAATAGCAGGTCTCCTAAATCACACATGGTGTATGAGGCACAAACCAAAAAGCCAACCAGCCACCGAACTCACTACCTAGGGACTGATCACCAAAGCTGTATTAGTTTATTGATGTAACAGTCAAACTGTGGCTTTATGGAATTTTTTTGCATTGGCAAGCGTGGGAAGCTCCCAATTTACCATAGATTCCAAAAGCTTGTGGGTCAGTGGCTTGGAACACCAGTGCATTTCCCCATGGAGGCGAGTGATGGTTAGTTTTCCAGCTTGGCCTGGAGAACTTCATTTAGTCCACAGTGCAACTGCACTGATGCTACTGCTCCAGTTCTGAGGTCAGGAGGGGACCGAGGTGCTGGGAGCCAGGGCCTGGAGAAAACCAGAGGCTTGGGTAGGCGACAAGTCTGCAGCATCCCTTAAGTCTTTGAGGCTAGTTCTTGCCATGTTTCCCTTCTCTGTCAGCACTAGAGGGTGCTTCAGAAACTTCATGGACAGGAATTAAAAAACAATCTATTTTAGGGAAAAAATATTTTTGAAATCCATGCATACGAGGATTAGTCAAAACTTCATGCAAGTGCATATTGTAAAAATCTATACATGGTTTTCAAAACTGTTTTTGCACCAAAATAGACCAATCTTCTAATTCCATTTCTCCAGGAACTTTTCATGGCCCCTTGTATTTCCTGGTCCTGGAGGTTTCTCCAACACTGTTAGGTACCCACCCAAGTATTGTTAATTGCCTCTTCTCTTTAGAGAATTCCATTCAATTTTTTTTTTGATTTATTTACTTATTTGAAAAGCAGAGTTATGGGGTTGGGGGATCTTCCATCCTCTGGTTCTCTCCCCAGATTGTTGCAATGGCCAGAGCTGGGCTGAGCCAGGAGCTTCTTCTGGGTGGCCCATGCAGGTGCAGGGGCCCAAGGACTTCGGCCATCTGCTGCTGCTTTCCCAGGCCATAGCAGGGAGCTGGATCAGAAGTGGAGCAGGCAGGACTTGAACTCGTGTCCATATGGGATGCTGGCACTGCAGGCAGCCATTTAACCTGCTACACCACAACTCTGGCCACCATTCAAATCTTACTGCGGTCCTTTTCTCAGCTCCCTTAAGTGAGATGCTAAAGAACTGCAGTGTGATTTAAACATTCATAATCATAGTAGATGAGTGATAGAAGTTTAACAAACCCAGAACTCTGTGTTTCTCAAAAAATTATCTATGTGTTTACTAAGACACAGAGAGTGGGAGAGTGAGATAGAGCTCTCATCTGCTGTTTGAGTCTCCAAATGCCCACCACAGCTAGGGCTGAGCCAGGTCAAATCTGGAAGCTGGAAACTCACTCCCTGGAATCGTCACCATTGCCTGTGTGGTGCATCTGTGTGCATTTTTAAAGGAAGGTATCTGTTACCATAAATGAATACTTAGTTAGAAATTATAAAGAATATCTGAAAGTGACATGAGAATAAAAGAAGTAGGGTTGAGAGAACTATGGGTTAGGGTTGGGGGAGATATCTTCCTGTCCCTGAGGTCACCCATGTCACCGGGTTTTTGGTTTTCCTGGCTTCTTCCTGCCTTTACACCTCTGAGCACTGAAGCATTTCCCACACGCCTAAAGCCCTGTCCCCACAATTGCTCCTGCAACAGGATTTGTAGATCTCTGGAGTGAGCAGAGTGTCCTTCATCCTGGTAAAGATAACTAACCGCTTGTACATGAGGCTCATCTACTGTTAGCTCAAAACCCTCCTATGGCTATGAGTATCTTCAATGACAGCGTATTTCCTGTAGGATATGGAAGCCGACCAAACCACGTTAGAGAGGAAAACTCTCCGAAGAGCCATGTATTCAAGAGAGGCCAAAGCCCAAATGGAGGATGAAGATGAAGGTAGATCTTTTCCATGTATCTGAAACATTCTAATGGGATTGTACGAGGTTTTATTGACAATACAATTCTTTCAATAGCTTCATGAGTTTCACGTCTACATTTGCAGTCAATTTGATCTGGAAATCAATAATCTCATCCAGGCATAAATTTTATATGTATTTTTTCATTCATTTATTCTTCACCTATTTTAAAAATTGTTTTTGAGGTTTGCCCTACTAAAAGCACTTAAACTTTTCAGCACTAATACTTACATTTCCATCAGTCTGAAAGTGGTGGTATTTTCTTTTGGGGGAATGATAAAAATTCAGCCTACCTGGTGGCCACTTGGAGTTTCAACACGTTTTTCTGTATGTAGAGGAAGAGGAGGAGGAAGATGAAGATGATAACATGTCCACTGTGATGAGGCTCAGGACTAAAATGCCCTGGAAAACCTGTTGGCGATACCTCACTTCCGGCGGATTCTTCTTGCTCTTCCTGATGATTTTCTCTAAGCTTCTGAAGCATTCAGTGATTGTGGCCATAGACTATTGGCTGGCCACATGGACGTCAGAGTACAGTATAAACAATACTGGGAAAGCTGACCAGGTACGATGCGCTTAGTTATGTTTTTAACCCATCAAGTAACTGTGGAGATTAACGGTGGCATTCTCTTACCTTGTTAGATACTAGCAGTGAAAATAGTCAGGACACTTCTTTGATAATTCTGTAAATAATTGGAGCAGGACCTGAAATAGAATAAACTGTCAATATGTTAAAAATGGTATCTATTATTTTATTTTGAAAAGTTTATCCTAAGAAACATTTAAAGGTAATATTTGGATTGGGATTAAAAGGAATCACATCCATGTTTTATACATGTTATAGATATGTTATACACAAATGTCTACCCATATAGGGCTCTTTTGTTATTGTTCTAATAGTATTTGATATTTAAGTAACTGCTCTACAACACAGAGAGCCAAGAATATGCCCCAAACCTGACAGCAAACAGTGTCCCTTCACTTGTCTGGAGGCAAACCTAGAACACAGTGGAGGAAGTGAAGTAGGGTCTTGGATACTGCCAAGGTCTCCAAGAGCTGTACCTCTGCAAGATAAGGAAGTTAGCAATGTCCTCTGACTTTGAGGCTTGGTTTTCTAGGAAGAAAAAAACTCAATCGGTAATTTCCTATGTGCTTTTCGATTGCTTCGCAGACCTACTATGTGGCTGGATTTAGCATACTTTGTGGTGCAGGCATTTTCCTTTGCCTTGTTACATCTCTCACTGTAGAATGGATGGGTCTCACTGCGGCCAAAAACCTTCACCACAATCTCCTCAACAAGATAATTCTTGGACCAATAAGGTAAAAAGTAGTTATTTCGCTCTCCCACACACAAAATCATGGAAACGTGCATTTTTAAAATTGCAGTCAAATGTGCAAGTTTGAAGAATTTGTTTGGTTCTTGAGAAAATAAATAAGGACCTTCTCATTTCTGTGACTCTAAACTGTCCATTAGCAGTGCTCAGGGTCCAGATAGTTGAGGATTATCATACATCTCAGTTTCATTATTGCCTAGGTTTTTTGATACCACACCTCTGGGACTGATTCTCAATCGATTTTCAGCTGATACCAACATCATTGATCAGGTGAGTTCCTGAGTTACTTCAAAATTCACAAATTGTTCAATATAAACTAAATATAGGTGTTTTAAGACAAAGCATGGTTTCTCTTACTAATAGAGGATTGCTGAAATTTAAATGAAAGCCTGTTTGCTTTCATATCAATGGATTCATGAAAACGATTACTTAAGAGAAAAACCGTTATTCAAACTAATTTGTGTATGTAGAAGAGGATACTTAAGAATCAGCATGAAGTAAAGAGAAATAGTAAAGAATGAATCAACATTTAAAGTTTTTGATTATAAAAAGAAATTATTTTGATTAGTGTGTATCTCCATCCACAGTATCAAGTTCACAAAACTTGAGTAAAATCCATTCAGAATATCTCCCAGAATAAAAGGTTGGGTCCTGAAGCTTTAGATGAAGCAGTGTTGGTAGAGAATCCCAAGAATGCTCCATTTAATCTCAGATCCTTAGCTCTCCAGAGGTTTGTCTTGAAAATGAAGACAGGAAACTCTGAAATTGGATCCCGTGAGAGCAGAACCCGCAGGACAGTTGAGAAAGAAAAACCTGTCACATCTAGCTTTGGCCTTTTCTGACTTGCCAGAGTGGTGTTGGGAACACATAAATTACCTCCAGTTTAGAAAATGAATGCTTTTGATATCCGCAGCTGACTAAAGAACACGGGAAGAAATTATGATATTTTCACAGGACTGGTGTTAGGTCACACTGCCCCTAAAATAAATTTAAAGAACTATATATTGCAAGAGCCAAAACAGTCATTATTTAGCAGTTGATAGGATTTCTATCCAGAGAATTCAAAACAAACAGTAAAATTGAAATCCAGTTAGAAAGTTCAGGAGAATATGTTCAAAAAACCCATCTTGTGAAAATTGTTAATTTCCACTCTGCCAATTAACAAATTGAGTGAAAAATAAATTTCATTATTAACAGTAAACACTACAGAAACAGAAATAAACCTAATACTATAAAAAGATAACCAATAATCTCAAAAGTCAGAAGAATGCTACACAGCGAATTTACCTATAAGATATCCAAAAATATTATTTTATTAATATACTCTGTTTCTCATAGAAGATGAGTATATCAATAAAGAGAATGGAGAAATCAAAAGCAATATGATACAGAAATTTAACATAGGGTGAAAGCATATTGCATGATAAAAAAATAATTTTTCAAGCAAACACATTGACAATTAGCTATCCATAACATAAAAAACAAATACAAAGTAAAGATGACCATATAAAAACAACAACATAGAAATTAAATTGTAGGAGAATAATGTTAGAAACTTGAGGTGCAGAAGGTCTTCCTAAGCAAGGCACAGAACTTCAGGAACAACAAGGGAAAAGGCTAACAGAAATGACCATATGGAATGTTAAGCTTTGAGCTAAAAACACCAAGGACAAGTTTAAAATGTAGAAGAAAGACAATAATCATAATATATAAACAGCAGCCAAAAATCAATAAGGAAAAGATAAGTGATCTGATCAAAAACATCAAAAGGATATGAACAAGCAATTACAGAAAATTAATTTAAATATCTTACAGTCCAGGAATATATGTATAGATTCTTTTTAAATAGTATGCAGCTACTAAAAAGATACAGATTTGTATCTGCTGACATAGGAAGATATGTAGTCTGTATTGTTCAGTAAAGTCAAAGAAGCACATGAAAGAATGAGATTTCTAGTACAGTCATTTATATACAATGCTTAAGAAAAATGGAGATACAGCTAGGTAAGTAATTAATGACACGTTGGCTGATAAACAAATATACTAAACTAAGGGCAATGAATGAAGAATTACTTACAATGAATATATTTGTATACCACTTTTATAATTAACTACATAGCTTAAGATTAATTTTCTGATAAGTTTTTTTTTTTGCATCCTAACAATGTTTGATGTGAGCTAAAATATATTTTCCTTTCAAACCACCTTTTCAATAGCATATCCCTCCAACTCTGGAATCTCTGACTCGCTCAACACTGCTCTGCCTGTCCGCCATTGGGATGATATCCTATGCTACTCCTGTGTTCCTGGTTGCTCTCGTGCCCCTTGGAGTTGCCTTTTATTTTATCCAGAAATACTTCCGAGTTGCTTCTAAGTATGTAAAACAGTGTTCTATGCCTTTTCAACCCCCTAGCTATTGATTCATTGTGAACTGCATTTGCTATAGTGTTTTCTCAAGGTAACATGTGGAATTTAGAAAGGCAACCTACTTTTAACATGGTGAAGCCAATCATTGGAAGATTTCTTATAATCATCGGGTAGTTGCTTGTGTGGGCCTTCCATAGCCCTGGATGTACATTAACATGCAGAATGACTTATTGGATTTTGAGTCCAAAGACCATGACAAGTTTATCATTTCATGGTCCTTTCTCTGAATGTGACATTGGCAGACAACTTAGAAAATCAAACATAGTCCCAAAGAGTAAGTGACTGATTAAATATTAATATATTCCACAAGTGAGAAAAAAAAGGGTTAAACTTCTATAGCTCCTTAAAATACATTGTGTGAAATATTAATAGAAGTAAAAATGATTGAATAGCTAAATCAGAGTGATTTTTACACAGTTAGATAATCTTGAATGTCTGATAGTAGTGCTGTAATTTTCAGAGTTGCAAAGTGTCAGATTGGACCATATTGTGTGTGACCTTAATTATCCAAGCAGATAAATAAAAGGTAGACATGAATTTTAGGTTCGTTTGTTAATATTGAATGTGTCATTTGCTAAGATGTTGAAGAGTTATTTAATACAAGTTTGAAATTTTCAGTTCAACTTTGAAGCTCTCCTATACCTAATACAGTAAGTTTTATGTCATTGCAAGAATCACTTTATTTCAACAAATGCTTAATAAGCATTGTGTTACAAAATAATGTGCTAAGCCACATGACAGATGAAAAGATCAATGCTACAAGAACCTGTTCTCAAGAAGCTAACAGTCTCTTGGGAGAATAAAACATGTAAAACAATCCTACTGTACATATTCAGTGCTAGAATTAGAACACAGATGCTGGGTTGATTCAGAGACATGAATGGAGTGTAGGGAAGATGGCGGAAAGTAGGGGAATGTAAGAACAGGGAAGGCTTACAATTAGGAATCTCTGAATTGATTATGTAACATTTCATAATTTTACAGTATGGTTGTATTTTCCTCAGGATTATGAATTAGAGTCCTTCCAGTGTCAGGGACTCACATTTGATCTGAGCCAAAAGACCAAGAAGCAGTAAATGTCAGGATCCGTATTAAATCTGGAGTGTTTCTTTATCCTCGTCTTCATCTTCTTCTTGTTGCAAATTCAGAACAAAAAGGAGAAGCTGCCCATCAATTAACTTCTTCATTTTTGTCTATTATATTACTACTGATATTGCTGCTGGCTAGAGAGGCAGAGACATTCCAAGTTATTTCAGTACTGCTGGCTATTTCCAAACCTACCCTTGCCTTCTCATCCCTAATAGCAAACAGTCGTATCTTATATCCGTCACATACTCATTTACCCTTGAGTGATAAAAACTGAGGACAATGCTTGGGTAAATATCCTTGTCTGTTACAATTTGGAAATTGTGAATTCTGCTCATTAGCAAGAATAAGCTGTGAGTATTGGTAGTGTGTAAAATATGAAGGAGAGAATTGTTTTTTGAAGAGTTCACGTTGATAATGGATTGTACATCAGTCTTGTTTGAAGTCCTCTGAAAGTTAACAGATATGATTCTACTATTAAATCTGATAGAGAAGAGGAACTTTTTTAATGTTGAGGCCCTTCAGCACACCCCATGGTAAAAAGCTCAGGCAGCTTAACTGATAGTTTTGTATACATCAAGGAGAATTTAATTGGGGATCTAGCTACAAGAAAAATGCCTTGGAATTGTAATATCTGTCGATATGTGTCTCCTTACAGGAATACAAGATCAAGCTGTGCTCTCACCTTTTTGGTTTCACCAAACACAGTTCTGTAAACAGAGGTTCCTCCTTCCTCATTTTTTTTCCTTCACCACAAACCTCAATCTAGTAACCACCTGTTGCTTGTGTTGGACTTACAAGTAGTTGATGTGATGTTTAAAAACAAGACACTCCACATTCCTTCCTGTTCGTTCTCCCGTTTCCTTATTTCCTTCCCTCCCCAAGCTCAACATCTGCAACTTCTGAAATAAGTGAATTTGTTTTAGAAACCCCAGGTTGAAAACACTTTGCATTTGCCTTGTGGAACTACGCAGGCAGTTCAAAGTGGCCTGAGATACTTACTGAAGATGACGTAACAGTTTTTCAGTTCAATTGACCCTGGCAGGTAAATGGCAGTTCTGTTTCTCTAATTCTTTTAAGGCCAGAGACTAGAGATGTGTAGGGGAAAAAAAAAAGAAAATAAAAAAGGATGCTTTGAAACGTGATAGAGCTTTCACTTCTATAAATGGTAGCTCATAGGGCTTAAAGAAAAGTTGTCATGAGTATGCATCTTTATCAAAAGAATCAAATGCAGGTATTTCCATTCACTTAGGATGGCATATGTATGCAGATCCTTGGAATAAAATGTAAATGGAAGCTCCTTGAAGGCAGGGATTCATAATCACTGAAGCCAAAGTCAAACTCATAACCTTGTTTCTAAATTTACCCATTCTGTCTGTACCCACCCTGAGACACAGCACAGTTATCCTTCAAGTCTGCCAGGCTAGTAGCAACCAAAGCGTATCTGACACTGACCTGTTATGATGATAAATTAATCCTTGTAGTTTATAAAGCTGTTTCTGGTATACTGTCTCACAATCTCCTCTTTCAGATCTCAACAACATTACACTGTAATTCAGAATTTTAAAACTATTGCTTCTTATATCATCCTAACTGGTGCTTACCTGTTCTCTTTCATCTTTTGCTTTATCTCTCAAGTTATGCTGACTGAGCACAGCTCTGATAACTTTTAGTCTTCGGTGATTTTTTACCCCGCAGCCCATTAAGGGCCCTCTACAGCCAGTCCCACCTCCAAAAGGCTGTTCTTTTAAATGGCCTTTTCCCACTACAGTACTCCCACAAGTTTCTGGACACCAGCTACATTGAACTTGTGGGGTTATTGTTACCCATTAGCCAGAATTCTTATCTTTTGGTCCATTTCACCGGAGCCTTCATCATGCCTAAGTTTTGGTCTAAGTTCTATTTGCTCAAAGATAATACCACCAATTTCCTATGTACACACTTATAGCTTATTTCTCTGTGTTCCTATAGCAGTGTACTTTAGCTGACAGGGGTGGGGAATTTCTGACCAATGGAACGTATAAGGCACATGGCATCATTTGGTCTTCCCCTGCCAAGGAAACCGCAGGCTAATTTTTAATTTCATAATTTTGTATGGCCAGTGAATAATGTTACTAATAGCCAAATGGTCTTTGGCACAAAAAAGGTTCCCCACCTGTGCAAGTTTAGCAGTTACACAAGGCTGAACCTATATTCCTTACATGCCCATCTTTTTCTTCTCTAGATTGTAAGCTTGGAAAGATTTTGTTACCGGAGTGCTAAGGGAAAGTAATTATAGAGGCCATTACAATACACCATGGCAAAGCAACCTTCATTTAGAATGAACCTGGTGCTCTTTGAACCTGTATGCGTTGAAGTTTATTTTTGCCCGTCTCTCTCCAGGGACCTCCAGGAACTTGATGACAGCACCCAACTTCCACTGCTTTGTCACTTCTCAGAGACGGCTGAAGGACTCACCACCATCAGGGCCTTCCGGTCAGTACACGTGCCTTCATTTTGCTGGTTAGATAGTTATATCATCAACAAATATTTATCTGAAAATAAGTGACAATTGCTACCATTTTTTGGATGCCCTCTGTACCTGTGTTCTAAACTAGGAGCAAGAAAACATGGTCATAAATGACCAAAGTTTCAGTCTAACCATCTGAAATGTCAACAAGAGAAAAAGAAGATGAAACAACATTTTGGAAAAGTGCTAGCCCTATGACTTAGATTATATTTTAAAATCCCCTAGCCTCAGTTTGCTCATCTGTGAAATAGGAAAGTCAATCTTCGTCATCGAAAATGACTAATTGAGCTAATGCATGTAAAGGGTTAAACAAAATGACTATTGAAGAAGCGCTCAATAAACAAAGTAAAGTAAATGTATACATAGTAATACTAACCAAATAAATAGTTACTGCAAAGTTATTTTGGAATTTAATCTGTTTTTTAATATTTGTAAACAGAGTCAAAACCTAAGCTTTAGATCAGGAGTGTTTTATTACCCTTCAAGCAATTATGTATCCCTGTTTTCCTGTTCAAGTATGAACAGAAAAACAGGTGGTATTACTGAATATTTCATTTAATCTAGAAAAATAACCAGTTAAAGTGTTAATATCTTTCTATAATCATAATTGCAAGTGTGTATTGATAATTGGAAGTTTTTCTAACTTAACATATTTTAAAAACTTAAAATTGAGTCAGAGAATAAAATATAAGGATACAATTACCTAGAACATTATGTATACAGAATCTGTACAGAAACCTTTGTAAATGTCATCATGAAGCATTTGTCATCTCTGCACCTGGATGTTTTCCCTGTTTTCTTTTAGGAATGTCAAGGCTATCCGTTGCCATTCAATGTACATATTAAGATAAAATTTATATTCTAGGAGTAGGCATAATGACCAGAAATCTTAACAACTATATGATACTAAAGATTAATTTTTTTCAACACAACAAATCTTTTCAAGATAATGTATTTAGGAAAGTCTTATTTGGGCATTGAATACATGCCTGCTGTGGCTATACAGGACAAAGCTGCTTATTTCCACTCCAGCTAAAGGTGACTTCTTCCGCCCCCTCCTTCCTGCCAGGTCGCCCATTGACTTCTTTTGTGGCATTTACATCTGAGTATTTTTATCTCTTTTATATTACTTACATGTTTGTTACTTGCTCCTTCCAATGAGACCGTTGGCCCTTTAAGAGCAGACTGTTTCTCACTATTTTGTCACCAGTATCTGGGAAAATGTCTGGCACTAAGTAAGTGCTCAAGAAATATATACTGACTACCTAGCTAGCCTGGACTCTGTTCTACAGTGCCGACAGCCTAGTAGGAAAGAAAATTCCACAGAAAAAATGGCAATGTACTGAGCTATTTCCTCTAATGTATATATCACAAGAAACAACAATATTAGAAAGCAGGGTAGCATGAACTCTCCAAGGAGTCAGAAGATAATTATTGAAGAACAGATCTTGAATGAAGAAGAGTTGAGAAGGTAAAGGATTAAGTATTCAAAGTAGAAGTCATAGATGCGCAGAAGCATGAAGATGGCCATTTTATAGCGCAATCCAAAGAATATGGTATTGTGGGAATATAAGGTAGGTACAAAGAAAGTGGCTATCAGGACAAAGCTTGAAAACATCAACAGGGGCCAGAACAAAAGGGATATGGGTATAAGTTCCTTTAAAGAAGTCGAACTTTATTTTTTCTATGTAGGGATTCACTGAGGATTTTTTTTACAGGAAAATGACATGATTGGAGTCCTGATCAAGGGAATTCAGTGTACATTGATAGTTGAATTAGGAGGGGTTGAGGCTAAAGGCAAGAATGTGCCAAGAGGCAGGTGCAGTGATCCAGGTGAGACTACAGATGAATGCTGAAGCAGGAACTAAAGACCTGGAGAAAACATGCAAGTTTTGGGATTGTTTAGGAAGTAAGACCAATGAGATTTAAAGACCAATGGGAAGTCAGGAGGAAGGGTGGGAGAAGCTGAAGATGACTCTTTCTGGGTTTCTGACTTTTATGAGTAAACACAGCTTTCCAAGTTAGGAAGTTGAAGATACAGATTACTGGGAAGGAATATGATGAGATTGGTCATCAACAGATGGAAGTTCTGATGAGATACACAGTTGGGAATTTTGGGGACCCAGTTGGGCATATGGATCTGATATCTAAGATTTCTCTCAAGGCAAAAGGTAAGTTTGGGTGTCATTCTCTTAGGATTATTAGTTTCTTAAAGGGCCTGGATTTGCTTGCCAAGGGAAAGAGGGTACACTCAGAAGAGCTTGGACAAAGTTTTCAGATTACCAGCACTTTATGAGCAAGCAGACAGAAAAGATCCCATGGAAAACACAATCTTCCAGGTTCTCCCAATTTAAAGAAAGTTGATCTACTCAGGTTTATGCTTCAGAGTAAGACAGGTTGTATTACAAGTCCCTCGAAATCCCCCTTTATATCTGGATAACCAGTGCTTATCATTGCTAAAATATCAGTCCGTGGTTATCATCCCACTGTGAGAAGTCTTCCTTGAATGTCACAGTGGAGATGCCCTTCTTAAGATCTCCAGGGTCACCTGTATTCTAGACTTAACACATGGTGTCAGAATCACTGGCTTGTGTGTTTGCCTTCCTTCACAAGACTAGGAGCTCCTTAGCAGCTGGTAGCTACCTCCTACCTTTATCTGCAGAACATAAGTGGACTCAGGCATACAGTGGATGTTCAGACGTTTTGTGAATGAATTGAAAACTGCTCAACTACTCAGCCTGTTGCTTCCTGCTAACACCTCTGTGACTGCTTTGTTTCACCTTCTGCACCATGCTTCCAGTGCTCCTCATTTGGGAAGCCTGTTGGAAGTCTGTTGTCTAGCCAACGTCATCAGAAAAGGAGAAAGGTTGTTGTGGACTTTGTCATGAATCCTCTTGACCTTCTCCTGACCCTAGCTAACCATAACGTAGGTCAGACTGATGCTATCAAATCCAAACCAATGCCCTGGAAAGAAGGATGATTCAAGCCTTAGCAGCCTTGATCTTTTGATTACTATTTTAGCAAGTTGATCTCCACAAAGCCCAACAATCATATGAGTGAGAAGTTAGCCATGGTAAACATCAAATCCACTGAGGTCTCCTCTCATGCCATGTATCTACTCTTACACAAGTATGAGAGGCCAGCATCTGGGCATTTTGGCTCCTTGGTGACTATCAGATGCCCTTAAGTAGTTACCTGGCATTTTTGATATCCCGTCATATGAATTATATCTTCTAGTAAGCAAACACTTTAATATCTCTACCTAGATCAAACACAGAGCGAGAAGGACTACAGGTCTGTCTGTAGGCAACATCTTTGGAATGGACCTTAATTCAGGCTTGTCTTCCTCCTCCCTAGATTAGATTATAATAACGTGATAGTGACAAATGTTACCACTTAGCAGGGCAGACCTTGTATTCCCACCAGGGAGAGGAATTCAAGTCAGTTGAGAAAATAAACCATCTAAGAACTAGGCAAAGAATCAGGATTCTGGTATTGTTGAAACTAAACAAATGAGCATTTTTATGAAGAAATTGAATTATCACTGGTAGTAGAAACATAAAATAGCTTAATTGAAAAGGACTTAAAAGTGTCCATTGGATATGACCGCCATGAAGCAATTGGTGATGTTAGCAAGAGCAGTAATGGTAAAGTGGAGAGGACTGAGGTCAGAATTCAGAGCACTGAAGAATTAACTAGAAATTGGAATATGCAAATAGCAAGGAAAGGGCTCAGTGTTTTTACTGTAATTTTTAAGAGGGCAATGGGGTAGACACTTCTAAAGACTGAGGGAAGAAGTGGAGATAGGGGCAGGATGTGACAATTCATGGAGCAGATTTTCGTGTAGGATTAGCTGGGATGCATTCAAGTGCCCAAGTGGAGAGACCAGTGCAGCTTGATCAGGAGGAATTGACTCACAGCTCCTCCATGAAGCGTAGGGAAGGGAAGGATGCAAATGGACTCAGGAAAGCTGGCAGGTAGAGCAGCAGCCAGTGGGTGGATTCAACAGCCAACAGCCTCTGTCTTCTCCTTGGAGGGCCACATGAGGTCATCTCTCAGAATGACAGGGATAAGAATTGCTAGAGCATCTTGAAGGGAATGAGGGTTTAGGCTGAAAGTGGAAATTAACCCAGGGTCAAGGTTCAGATTTTCCAGTTACCTTCTTCACTGGACACATGGGTAGAATTTTGCATTATTATTCCAAGTTTTATGTTAGGAAAATTATCAGTAGCTGTAACAAGAACAAAAATACTACATCAAGATCCAATGCTTGACATACAGTTGGAAGAAACAAAAGATGGCTCAGCTTCTATGTAGAACTACCTATGGGGTGGGTGCTGTGGCACAGCTGGTAAAGCTGCTGCCTGTGGCACTGGCATCTCATATGGGCACCGGTTTGAATCCTGGGTGCTCCACTTCCGATCCAGCTCCCCACTAATGTGTGTGGGAAAGCAGCCGAGGATGGCCCAAGTCCTTGGGTCCTTGCTCTGATGTGGGAGACATGGAAGAAGCTCAGCCATTTGGGGAGTGAACCAGCAGATTGATGACCTCTCTGCCTCTGCCTCTCTCTAACTCTGCCTTTCCAATAAATAAAAAAAAATTTAAAAATAAAAATAACAAATAGAATTATTTGCATCCAGATGTAGCTTTTCCAGAGTTCATATTTAAAGTAAATTATCATAAATACCATAAATAATAGCACTTTATTTTTTAAAGAACTATTTTTTTGAAAATCAGAGTTACACAGAGAGAGAAGGAGAGGAGAGAGAGAGGTTTTCCATCTGCTGGTTCACTCCCCAGTTGGCTGCAATGGCTGGAGCTGTGCAGATCCGAAGCCAGGAGCCAGAAGCTTCTTCCAGGTCTCCCACATGGGTTTAGGGGCCCAAGGACTTGGGCCATCTTCTACTGCTTTCCTAGGCCATAGCAAAGAGCTGGATCAGAAGTGGAGTATCCAGGACCTAAACCGGCGCCCATAGGGGATGCCGGCACTGCAGGCAACAGCTTTACCCGCTATACCACAGCACTGGCCCCAAATAGCAGCATTTCCTAAAATCAAAAACAGTCTTGAAACTGTGGGAATGGCCCTGCTGTCATAGATAGAATTCTAGACTCTTTACATTTGGTACTTGTGCTCAGACCATGTTCTTTTCCGTCCATCTGTTCCTTTCTTCCAAGCTACCCAGAGTCCCCAGAGCCCTGAGCCCTTTCGGAAAGTTAATATTTACTGATGAGACTCCGTTTCCTCCCCGCGTCCAGGGTTCATGGTGTACTCACATGAAGCCGTGAACTCCCTCAAGTAGTTGACCACAAAGCTTCACAGTTAAATTCGACTGGGATTCCTGTGACCTTTCCTATTTTTATTTTTTTGTCTGACAGAATAAAGGTCTAAGAATGTTCAGAAGATGAGCTGGATGCGGATGAAAAGATACAGACTGAGTGTGTCAAAGTTTCCATTAGGAAAACACAAGGTTTCTTGCCAAATAGAAACACACAGAAAGAATGTTCGCTGCATTTCACCCCTCCCTCTCCCTGCTGCTCCACATCATTGCCAGCTCCATTTACAAACCCTTTAAGAGCTTATCTGAAAGACTATCCCAAAGGGAAGGGAGAGCAAAGAGGAGTCCAGGCAAGGCACTGTTTCAGGATCCAGTGTGTGGGCGTCCACTGGCTGTGGTCCAGCTGGCCCCATCTCCAGTCTCTCCCATACCTGAGTGCTCTAAGGACAGGGGTCTGTCTCGAGCCCCCTAAACATGTTGGGCTTTCTCACTTTTGTGCATTTGCTCATGTTTTTCCCACTACATAGAATGCTTGGGTCACTTGAAAAATTGAGTTCCTCCCTTAAAACCTCACTCGGACTATCCTCCCTATCCTCATCCCACCCTCTGCTCTGTTCTCCCTTTTCCACTGACTTCTCTGGGTCACTGAAAGCCATGCCCTGCCTTCACGTGCATGCGCCACTGCATGCATAGGGTCGTTAGCACTCAATCCTGTGCTGCACCACGCCGTCCTTGCTTGTTAATACAAAGAGCTTCCTTCCTTCCCCAGACAGTGGGCTCCTCAAGTGACGAGGTTACATCGTGTTCCTCTGTGTAGCCCCAGGGTCTAGCATGACATCTCGCTTGTAGCTGATACTTTGTAAATGTTTCTGAATTAATGAATAAAAATCTCCTTAACCTTTACCTACTGAGTCCAGAAAGAATGAGTCTTTCATGTGCATACCGCAGTTCATGTCTGCTGTCTCAGGAAATCCAGCAGATCCTTCCTGCCTGTTGGTTAATCACTATATTCTTCCCTAAAAGAATCTGGAGGGAAGCAAGCTCCTTGGATATCTTAGTGTCACCCCAAAGCATTGTCTCTCAGCACAGGTCCTATGTGCGTGGCATTTGGGCCAAGGCTGCACACTTCCAAGTGACATCATTATTTGGATCTGACTGCTGATCCTTCGATAATTGTAGATGATCAGATGTTGCTGCTGTCTGAAGAAATTATTTCTCTGACTTGGAATATTGGAATGATCCCATTTCTTGGATAAATATCAAGTATCTGCTTTATGCTGGCCGGTATGGATTGCTTCAGTGGCCATGTGCACAGCCTACCTAGGACTTCTTCACTCTCTGACTCAAGGATGGTTTATCCTGAAGTTTTGCAATTTTATTTGAAGATGTGAGGGGATTGGAACAGTCTTTTCAACTAGGAGTCACTTCTTGTCTGTCACTGAAACTTGGCCATTCCTTATAAGCATAACTGATTGATGGCAGAGTCTATATGAGACAAACCATGGCCACAAGGAGAGAATAATCCATATTTTGATTCAGCATTTCCCCAATATTCAAACTAGCTATCTTGATTAAATTAGCCAGGTTTCCATTGTTTCTGGTATTCTGGGGGTAGTAATCAAGCAATGAAAGAAGACTATTTTGGGGGATTTAGAAAAAAAAATGACACTATTTGTCATGAGCTGCTGTGAGATGGTAACCCACATATTCAAATATACAGGCTTTTATTAACAGCTTCTCTTAAAAATAAGTTACGCAGAATTGATTCTGATGATGTTGAACATGAAGAATGAACTTATTTTTTCAGGGATTAGTGTTCAAATTGTATGTATCCTAGAACCCCTTGGACCATGAGTTCCTTTTGTGCAGTGACCATCCTTACAAACTGGGAGCTTTTCGACTATAGATATCTTAGAAGAGCAGTTGACATCTACAAAGCTCTCTATCCTGAATTTCTTGCCACCCCAATTTCCATCTTTGGTTGTCAGAAACACCAAGCAAAAAGAGAATTTTAAAAGAATATCTTTGCCACTGCCCTATGCGAAGTTTCCTGTCCTCCCCAATTCTCCTCCAGCACCTCCCACCCAGTTCTTAACTCTGTCACTTGGGAAAGTAAAATAAATGTCATATAAATCAGGTAAAGTCTGCTGCACATTGCACTTCTGTGCAACTCACGCTGCTGATTGAAAGGTGACTGCAATGTTAGCCGTGCTTCTTTTCATAGCTACCATAATGATGTGGAAATTTATGAAATAATATTTAATAGACCTTGTTGTCAGGAAGACTCCTTTTCCTAGTAGGGATGTGAGAAAGGAAAGAAACACTTGACCCCGGCTTCTCTGCTAAGAATGCAGCAGAACAGTAGCAGCTGCTCTTTATTTCGAGGGAGGAGTCCATTTCAGCCCATCAGTTTGTCACTATTTGTTGAGTAAATAGCGTAGTAGCAAGTGTGACTGGTTTTTATTACTTCTTGTGTTGTGTGGCTAACATCATCATACTTTTGTTTTCTGCAGGCATGAAGCCAGATTTAAGCAACGTATGCTGGAACTGACGGACACAAACAACATTGCCTACTTATTTCTCTCAGCTGCCAACAGATGGCTGGAGGTCAGGACGGTACGTTCATTTCAGGATTTCGAAATGGAAACCAAGCAGAGAAGGGGCCTGCTGCGAAGAGGCTGGGAGTTGTAAAAATTAGTCTTCCACTGGGATCCAGCACTAGCTTCGCATTTGCTGGCCTTTTAAATAGATCAGGTTTGTTTAGGTCACGGATGAAGTCTGTCATAATGTTTTAGCTAATGGCAAGACAAATAGCCAGAAAAGCAGAAATTCATTCTGTGTTCATTAGTCTGTAGACTACATAAGTTAATGGAATGGCAAATATTTGTATAACTTCAGGTTTTTTCTCCAAAGAGCAAATTTGACTAGTGAACAGATGTACTCATTTTCTCCACTGAGCTGGACAGACCTGAGAGAGAGCACACAACTTTTGGTGTTCTAAGCCAGTGGAGGATCACATTAGCACAAAAGGAAAAAAAAAGTGCTTGATCATCTATTGCTTCCTCCATTCCGTATGATAGAGAACAAGCTGTGACACTGTGTGGACTAGGTCTAACATGTGCGTTGCTGTGATTCATAGTTTGTCAGTGATAAAATAACAATATGTACTTATTGAGGGTATTATATTTAAAAATAATATCAGTCCTCTAGTACTACAATTTATAAATGCATTCAAGAAATGCCTTTTGAATGGTTGAATGAAAGAATGAATGAATGGAAATAGTACCTGTCCTACTGAGTGGGTCGTAAGTCAACCAGCCAGACTGAAGTTGGAGGCAGATGAGCTAGAGGTCCTACAAGGGAAGGAATAAATTTTTCTGGGGCAGATGTTGTGGTGCAGAGGTAAGGTACCACCTTCAATGCCCACATTCCCTATCAGAGTGCTGGTTCCAGTCCTGGATGCTCCACTTCTGATCCAGTTCCCTGCTAATGCACTTGGGAAAGCAGTGGGAGTTGCCCACCTCCACCTCTACTCCCCATGTGGGATACCTGTATGGCATTCCAAGCTCCTGGCTTTGGCCTGGCCCAGCCCTGGTCTTTGCAGTCCTTTGGAGGGTGAAACAAAAGTTAAGTCATTGATTAGTGGAAACAGAATGATATGGAGCCTTGGACACCCTTGTGAGTCTTAATTAGGATTTCTCACTAGGTTGTTGAGATTCAAAGCTCACGAGAATTGGGGATTTATCCTCATGGTTACAGCACCAGTTAAGATGCCTACATCCCACATCAGAGTGTCTGGACTGAATGCCTGGCTGCAGTTCCTGAGGCCAGTTTCCTGTTCATGCAGACCTGGGAGGCATCCGTAGTGGCTACGGTACTTGGGGTCCTGCCACCCAGCATGGGAGACCTAGATGAAGCTCCTGGCTCCAAGCTTTGACTAACAAGGATGGGTTTTATGCATCATTTGGGGAGTAAACCAGCAAATAGAAAAGGATCTCCATCCATCCATCTCTCTCTCTCTCTCTCTCTCTCTCTCTCTCTCTCTCCCCCTCCCTCCCCCAAATAAAATTTTTTTAAAATAAATAAATCATGGGCATGGAATTGAATGATAATTTTATTTTGGTGCCAAAATGTGTTGAAATATCTGCATAATTTTTTTCATAGTAGGTATTTTCCATGAACCTTTTGAAGACCCTTAATGTACATAGATCTCAAAAATTTTTTGTACCAAAATAAACTTACCCTCTAATTAATTCCATTTACAATCACATTTCAGAGTACCCTCATATAAGTGATTATGTAAAATTTTTTCAGCAATACACCATAATTATATTTCACAAATTATTGAGATACGCATGTGCAGCACGCATCTTCAAGCAAACCACATGTTCTGTCTGCGTAGCCAGAAGACAAAGATTGTGGAGGCCCGTGACTGCCAAGAAAGGGCAGGTCAGGAAACATTAGGGAGGAAAAGCAGCCAAACTGAGAGGGATTTCATTGAGTTTGTCCCAAAACGTTCACACACACACACACACACACACACACATGGGAAAAAGCAATTGATTCTGCCTACCTAGAAAGGAATTCTAGTTCCACCTGCTGAGAACCAAAGGAGATACTGACACTCTAAAAACAATGCCTTTTGTGCTGTTGCTTTATAATACCTTTCTCGTGACCTCTTCTCTTTGCTTTCTGTGTTTTGTCATCCTCCCAAGATTTGATGTATAGTCTTATGACTAACAGCCCCCTTTGACTCCATTTAAAAGCTAATAGAAAAAGTTGAGCAGTTGTTTGCTCCTATTTTGGAGGGTTCATGTTAAGTTGTGGTAAGAAACTTTGATTGGCTTTCTGCAAAAATGCCAGGCATGTCTGCTGACCAAGCCAAGGTTCAAAGTCCTTTGTGTATGGTTTGTCTCTGTCGCTTGCACTTATGTGGCAGTAAACTCATAGAGATACACACACACACACACACACACACATCCCTCTCAACAGTCCCAGAAATCCAACATAGGACCTCTTGCATTCACTCTCATTGTATTGTGAGTCCATAGACTTTTCATTAAGTTAGGTACGTTTAAATACAAACGCTGTAATCCAAGAATGTATGCCATAGCAGGAGTGCTGAATAAATTAAGGAGATAACTCCTACTGGGAAATACTCTACCTTCCCAATTGTACGTGTAGCAGTGACCTCATTATTACCGTGCTTCTGAGGCTGCATCCACAGCACTGCAGCCACACTCTGCATTATGTTGAGCTATAGAGCCTTGGGGACTAGGGTGTGAACTGTTGTCTGAATCTCACAGCTGCACATACTCTGCCTTATCAGTCATTTGTTAAAAAGTAAGTAGGGGGACATCTATCTGGTCCAGGAAATCTGCATTGATGTTATCTGAAGCTGTAACATAGCCCCCTCCTCTCTCTGGCCTGTGCCATATTTCTCAGTGAATTAACACCCCACATCTGCTAAGAGCAGAACCAGGACTGGAGTGGTATAAGGAGGGTCACTGCCTTGGTCATCATTTCAAAGAGGCAGCAAGCAGGATTTCCTAATGCAGATCCAGGGATTTCACCAAGTCTTAAATCCTGAACTCGCAGCCTTCGTGGTAAAAGGAGGAAACTTGAAGGCATGGCTTTCTGTGGCCACTTTGCTTTCGCTGACTAACTGTGCAATGATGTCTTGTTACTCACAGAAAAGCCCAGGAGAGGGACAGGAGGGAAGCCAGAGCAGGAACACCTAGTGCGGTGTTTGGAAGGGCCCTGAGCCACTTCCAACTGTGGTTTATCGTTTGAGTGGGGGCTCTCCTCCTTGGTCCATTGGTGTTCAGTAATCCATTCTTTATCTGCATAGGCAGCTTTTCTATAGAACATCAGCCTCGCATACTGCATGCATCTCATACTCATTCTGAATTGAGGGAAAAAAATAAAGGTTGTAAGGCGCTCACATCTCGAAAGCACAGGATAAAAGGATTTGGCTGGTAGGGATGCAGCGAGAGCGTGGCCACCCGGCTTGCTCTGGCAGCACAAGGGACTGTTTGTCCTCAGGGTGCCGAGGGCAGCGGGCCATGGCTGTGTGCAATGTGTCACTGCAGCCTGCTCTCGGGTGCTGTTCGCACGCTGTGCTTCAGCGCACAGTGTTTGCTCTGCACTAACCAATTCCAGTTCTTTGGCATTGGTGTTGCCATTTGCAAAAATTGTGTAACTTTATCTAAAGGCCGTCTTTCCAAGGCTTTGTCTTGCTGTGTGGTGAAAGGATAAAAGAAAATTCACATCAGGAAGCCAAAAAAAAAAAAAAAAAAAAACCTGACAAAGAGGCCTCAGAGTCAACAGGCTCAAGACAAAATGCTCTTGGGGATGAGCTTGTGACAGCCCTGCTTTGTGAAACAGTACGCTTCCGCCAGAGCCAGGTGTGCACTGGTCATCATTTGCAAGCCCTCATAGATTCTCCAGGGCACTCAAAGGTGCCACCGAGGTACACCCCTGAGGGTTACATGAAAGACAAACACCAGTTGCTATTAACTCTTTTTTTTATTCTGTTTTTAAAAATTATTTGAAAGAGAGAGGTAGAGACAGAGGGAAGGAGGGAGAGAGGGAAAGAGAGAGAGAGAGGTCTTCCATCCACTGGTTCACTTCCCAAATGGCTGCAACAGCCCAAGCTGATCCGATCTGAAGCCAGGAGCTTCTTCTGGGTCTCCCACATGGGTGCAGGGGTCCAAGGACTTCAGCCATTCTCCATTGTTCCTCCAGGCGCATTAGCAGGGAGCTGGATCGGAAGTGGAGCAGCCAAGACTCAAACCAGCACCCATGCTATTGAATCTTCAGTAGTCTGATTCATAGAGAATTACAACTTTGATTAGAATTCCACACACAGACAAATGGAACTGAATGGCTAGAAATCTGACAGCAGCCCTTCAGGAGGGAACTGTTGAATGTGCCAAATCGGTGTATGTTAGACTTCAGCCTTGTTGGAGAAGATGCCTCGTGGTCGGGCTCCTGTGAGAGTGGTTAAGTCATAGTGCAGGTGCTTCTGTGATTCTGTTGAATCTCTCATTGCAGTCTGATTTCTCACAGAATAGGTTGTTGGGATGTGTAACGCCCTAGCAGTAGGATGGAGGCTGTTTGAGACCCCTATGACTTTCCTGTTTTTCCTTTGTTCTTGTACTGCTTTTAAGCCACTTTGCTGTTCACATATTGGCAGAGAGTGGGAAGAAAGTGTAACTGAAGTCCTTGCATTGAATGGTATAGGAAGTGGAAAATGGAGAGCTAATAGAAGCTTTGATATTCTCTATCAATTTCACATTTCTACGTGATTATACCCTTTCAATGGAAGTAATTGGAATTTGCTATTAAATTTCTTGAAGCACACTGTGCACAAAGTTCTCTCCCTATGCAAGATAAAAGTCTGATCATATACTTGCAAAAACATTCCAGTTCCTTAGAAAAACTTATTTTTGAGCAGTGGTAATAATCCAGCATAATTAATCTAGTATAATTAAAAGACATGAATAGCACTTTTTTTAAAAAGAAACAGGTGTACAAATGTGTTTGTGGTAGGTAAAATAACTATTATAGATATTAAACTAGCTTGAAAACTGGTATATGTATTTGAATTAACTATTTCTCAAGTCCTGATGTTTTTATTATAAATTATACCTCAAAAAGCTATGGTAGCTTCTTTTGTTGAAGTGTCAGAAGGATTATCTCAATAACATTATAGGTGACTTTGAATATATTTTTAGTTACTGGACCATGATAAAGTATAATGACCATATTGAAAATTTTACAAGTATTTTTTTTTAAAGATTGGCTTATTTGAAAGAGTCGGAGGGAGTTACAGGGACAGATGTTCCATCCTCTGGCTCACTCCCTAGGTGGCCACAATGGCAGGCATTGAGCCAGCCTCCCACATGGGTGGTAGGGGCCAAACGCTTTGGCCATGTTCCTCTGCTTTTCCCATGCACATTGGAAGTAGAGCAGCCAGGACACGAACGGGCACCCCTGTGGTGGTGCTATCTCTACATCACCATGCCTGCCCCTCTTACAAGTAGGTTTGAAAACATGAATCACATGAAAGAAGCCCCCCAAAATACACTGACTGCTTGTTGGTCAGCCTCTCCCTTTGTTCCTGTCATCGGCACTTCTTTTTGTGTGTCTTTGCAGCTCTTTCGCCAGGATTTGATGACTTACCTGCTACCAGAATTATTTAAACCAATAGAAAGTAGTTGAAAGTATTATTTAATTAAATCTACCATTTGGTTCTATATAATGTGACTCCTTGAATCCAATACAGAATACACATTTCCCTAATAAGCTAAATGATAGAGAAAGTATTCAATGTCTCATGTTCCCCATATTACATTGGTACCAGGACTGCCACTTAATTTGCACTTATTTAGATGCAGTGGTAATGATGATGGCTTTGCTTCAGTGTCCCAGATGTGACCTTGTTGTATTTTAGTGCTGTTCAAATCTGCTGTTTGTTGAGGAAAATGCAGCAATGTAGCATTTTATGGGTTTCCCCCACACAATTGAAATAGTAAAAAAAAAAAAAAAATGGAATTGAATGATGAAGTTCACGGCTTAGGTAAGAGTGTAAGAGTGCTGTTCACTTTAGAAAAGACAAACCCCTGACTTTTATATATAGCAAGGCATTTAAAAAGACAGTCATATTACAGTTCTAAATGGGGGATTAATTGGTCATAAAAGCCAGTGCTGGACTTCCCACTTTATCAAATATGCATCCTTATATTCTCTTGCCATGTTCAGCTCTTAAAATCTGGACAGGAGATTGGTGGAGAGCTAAATGATTCATAGGCATCCTAAAGGCAAAGTCAGGAGAAGTCCTAATTTAGAAGATTCTTGGCTCATAGGAAAACTCAGTGAATGTTTTATGAGAGGGTGACTTTATCCAGTCACTTACTCCATAAAGAATCCCTGGACCCGTACAGTGGACTTGGCTCACATCATTCCTGTTACGAGATCACAGTGGTCAGAATTCAAAGACTCTGTCCTTGTGGAAGTGGATGCATAACGAACATGGAACGAATGACAAAGAACAGTGCAGGTAACACTAAGGGCTTTGAGGAAAAGCAAACAGGAAAAATGGGACGGAGGAAAGCTCCCTGGCTGGGATTAGAAGCCAAGAGGCCACGGTAAGGAGGCGATTTTGAGTTGCATTTCAATGTTGAGAAGGAACTGAAGCCAGGCATCCGAGACCTGGGGACTGCATTTTAGGCTGTCAGTGGCAAACAGAAGCTGATTTGTTACCAGAACAGGAAACAGGCCGCTGTGACTGCAGTGGAATGAAGAACCAGGAATGGAATCTCAGATACGGTCAGCATCGGGCAGGGTCTGGAATCCACACACTGTGTCATATGAGGCTTTGTCATCTGTCTGCGTTTGAACTTACTGTAAATGCAGTAGGAACACGTTGATGATTGTAGTCAGGGAAGTTATATGACTTGATACTTTTAAAAGAATGTATGAATGATGCTGCTTTTCCCAATGAAGTCAACTGGCAGAAAGCAAAGAATAGATATTCATTTTTCAGACTGTCTTGCTTCAAACCCTTAATGTATACATAACTCAAACTTCTCAGAAGCCCAATGACATTTTTTTATATCAAGCAAGGAACAGTTTGGTGGAAGAATCTCTTGGTTTTAATTTTACTTTCTGTAATTTATTACAAAAGCTTTTTTTTGGTTAATATTTTTTCCTATTTAGAGAAATATTTAATTGAAAGAGAAAGGGCAAAAGAGATCTCATTCATTCACAATTCAACACCTCAAATCCCTGCAATAGCTAGAACTGGGCAAGGCAGAAGCTAGGAGCCCGGAACTCAAAATAGGTCTCCCATGTGTTAGCAGGGACCCAAGTCTATGAGCCATTACCTGCTGCTTCCTAGGATAAATGCGAGCAGATTGAGGGGATGAGTGTTTAGCCCAGTGACTGAGATACCAGCATCCTGCATTAGAGAGTACCTTGGGCTTGGTTCCCAAGTGCCTGGCTCCTGACTTCAGCTTCCTGCTAATGCACACTCTGGCAGGTGACAGTAATGGCTCAATTAATTTAGTTCTTACCTGCCCCGTGGGGGACCTGGATGGAGTTCTGGGCTCTTGACTTCAGTCTGACCTTATCCTGGCCCGTTGCATGCATTTTAGGGGGTGAGCCAAAAGATGAGAACTCTCTCCCCCTGGATGTGTGTCTGCATCTCTCTCTGTCTGCCTCTCAAATAAATAAATAAAAAATTTCTAAGTAACTGGCATTTGTAAACCATAAAAGCATAGTCCAGACTAGTTAGATTCTATATCCATTTAGTTATTGCTACAACTAAAGCAGAAAAGAGGAAGACTTAGCAGGGTGGGATGTGAGAAGTTGTTAACAAATGGATATACCAGAACAAGCCGTCAAAGAAGGATTTACTACCTCTGGAATTTATTGCCTCGGGGGATTTACTTTCCATGGTTTCTTTATTCTTTGTAAAGATTATGGGAATCAATATACAAGTAACTTTTAGTTTCTGACCTTTGATGTTTTATGATGCACACAGATTTTAAAGCTTACGTCAAACATTTGAAAATCACCCAAGGGGCAAAAAAAAAAAAAAAAGACATCCTGATTTGGGGAGATGGGGAAATTTAACTGGCATTTTACATTTTTTATTGCTTTCAAAATCTCGGTGAATTAGGTATCACTTCTGTTTTTCCAACGAAGAAATCGAGCCTCAGAGGGGTTTACATTACTTGTGTAATCTCACTAGCCAGTAATGGGTAAAGCAAGCATTCAAATCCAGATTCTGATTCCAAGGCTGTGCTCACTGATTGCTATCCAACAGTTTGATCTTTGGAGCTGTTTTCAAAAGAAGCAGTAATGTGCACATGTGAGCTGATCTGAGAAATTTCGTTGACTTCAGCATGTTAAACTCTATTGCTGTCACTAAAGTCTTGAAGTCCAGTTGCTAGGGTTTTTGATTTGTTTTGTAATTGTTGTTTGAGGGACCAGCACTATCTAGCTAGAGAAGGAGTTGACCAATGGGATAGAATGAGATAATTGTGGAAGTATCCTTGCCTGCAATCCTTCCTGCTTCTGGGACAAGTACTACATCCGAATGAGAAGCTGTTAGGATTTCTTCATCATGCAGTCTGTATTGCCTTACTATAACAAAATAGCTGAGGCTGGGATGCTCTAGGGCCCCCTCTGGCAGTGGCCTTTCTGTTGGCAGAGTCTCACGGTGGCACAGCATCACACTGCATGAGACAGAAAGTGTGCATGTGTGTGTCTTCTGGTTTCTCTGCCTCTTATAAAGCCACTACTATTCAATCATAGGGGCTCCACCCCGATGACATCCGATCATGTTCATCTCCCAAAAGCCTCACCTCTGAACAGCGTAGTTTGGTTTCCACCCTCCTAAAGCTTCATGATGGAGTTATATGTCAATCCGTGAGCCCTCAGGGGACACATTGAAACCATATCCCTAACCCTTCAAGAACGAGAGCTAAGAATATTGGGAAATGGAAAAAGAACAAGGTGTTAAAAAATGAACAGATGTCCCTTGTCTTTCGTTGGAGTCTGTGGCTGACATCAATGAATTTTTAAGTTTGCAAAAGAGTTTATCATTGAGCAATGGAAAATTCAGATAATCTGACATGTCCATACTTCTAATTGATGAGCAAATATAATTCTTCGTGTTTACATGGAATCTGTAGATTTTATGTCCCAGACCCTGAGCCCAGATAGTTGACAAAGAGTTCAGATACAAATCCTAACAAATTAATCACAGGCAGATTTCTGCAAGGACTTCACTATAGTCCACAGGGGACCTATCATAATCCCAACATGAGCGCACATGAAATCTAAGTTAGAAAACCAGGTCCAAGAGTAACTGCTTGGCTGGCCACACAGTGCAGTAGAAATTAAAAACAGACAGAAAACTGTATGTGTGATCCTTGTCATGCCACGAACTGCCGCCTGTCTTTGGGTGTAAGTACTGTACCTTCCTCTGGGCACAGATCGTCATGTATATATGGAGACTATATTATTCCCTGTTCCCGCCTAGTGTTGTGAGGGATTAGTCTCCACATCCTTGGTATCTTTTCTGTGAAATTTACACAATTCCGGGACACACGTGGAGTGACCCATGTCCTCTGAGTGGTCAGCTCTCTAAGTAGATTGAGATATTTGGTTTCAGAATGTGGGAATAATATTTTCACACTTTCTCCTCTTTAGGATTATCTGGGAGCTTGTATTGTCCTCACTGCCTCAATCGCATCCATTAGCGGGTCTTCCAATTCTGGATTGGTGGGCCTGGGTCTGCTGTATGCACTCACGGTAGGTATGGGTGAAAAATACCTGTCTTCGTGCACTGTTGGAGGTGCTTTCTATAGCTCCTATCAACTGTCTTGCATGAAATGTTAGAGAGGTTTGAGACTCATAGTGAGATGATAGTAAATACCAATAAATAACAGTAAACTTAGATCCAAACCTAGCCTTTTAGGAAAGCTTAGGTTCATCTCTGTCAACCAATTTTTAAACACTCTTTCTACTTTCCAAATGCCCACAGAAGCCAGAGCTGGGCCAAGTCAAAGCCAGAAGTCTGGACCCGAATTCAGGTCTCCCACATGGGTGGCAGGCACTCAAATGCTTGAACCTTCATCTGCTGGCCCCTCAGAGTGTGCATTAACAGGAAGCTGAGTGGGAAGCAGAGGAGCCAGGATGTGAACCAGGCATGGCCATAGGGGATGCAGGTGTCCCAAGTGGCATCTTAACTGCTGTGCCAAATGCCTACCCAAGGAAATACGAATTTAAAAGAGATAGATACAGACATAAATATGGGAAAATTAAGGACAGTTCAAAGAACGGTAACATTGAAGACCCCTGAAGAAGGACAGACACTGTGCTGCCATATCTCATGAAATGTTCTGGACTTAGATAACTGGTAGAACTTAAGAATTGTTCACATGACGCATGTTAACTACCCAAGTTACCCTATTCTCCAAATATCCAGTCATTATGAAAAGTTCTTACTTCCAAATGTGTTATATATCTATTTTTGTCCCCTGACACAGATAACCAACTACCTGAACTGGGTGGTGAGGAACTTGGCTGATCTGGAAGTCCAGATGGGTGCAGTGAAAAAAGTGAACAGCTTCTTGACTATGGAGTCCGAGAACTATGAGGGCACCATGGGTATGGCTCTGAGTCTCACCTGGTTCCATTGAAATGTTCATGTCAATCAAATGGTTGTTCTTGGTTTTGTTTTCCACTTTCTTATCTAGAGGGCTTCCTCTCATCTTGGCTGTGCATATGTACACCTGAAAACAATTCAACTCTTCTGGCCTAAAACATCTTGGCTAGAACCAGAGTCCAGAGAGATATTATTTAATAATATTTAAAGAGTTAGGAAAATAGTAGGGCTTTATCAAATTAGTTGCCAGCCTAAGACTGTGAACTATCATCTTTTCTTTCTCAAGCCCTTATAAATGTAGATGTCAAGAAATTTGAATCTTAAAGTATGGCCTGGGGTTCTCAGCTTATTGGAATTAAAATGGCAGGAAATTCAAGACTGAGGATGGAATGGTCTTTATTAAGTGCAAATCTCAAGGTTAGAATGCTTTGCTTTGCCTAAATTCTGCAACAGTTATCTCATGATTCAAGGATAAAATCCAGGTAATTTAGCTAGGACCACTAGATCCTTCATTCACAGCCCTTGCCCACATACCCGGTATCATTTCTCATCATCCATCCATCCATACTGGCACAATGACCATGCTAGACTGTCCTCTCATCTTTGTTCTTTTAAAACAGTTTTCCCTCTCTCTCATCCCTCACAATCCATGTCAGGCACCATCTTCTCTCGGGATCCTCTGAAACACTCAGGTTACCGCAACGCCTCGAGTCCAGCCCCATCCGATGGCTCTTCATGTACTACAGTGGCTACTGACTGGCTTGTACGCTGCTACAAGGATGCAGCAAGCAGCTCCAGTTAGCGCTTTTATCTCCATATTCTTAGCACCTTGCAGAGTACCTCACATGTGGAAAGCCCAACTGACTGGACAAACAAATCAATTCACAAATGAACTACCTCTGTTCACCTTGAATACAACTGAGTGCTGGAATGCTAAAGATGTGCTAGTTCATGTTCCAAACATGCGCACACACACACACACACACACACATGCGCACAACTGCTTTAAAAGTTCTTAACCAAAAGGCATTTACTTGAATGTAATTTAAATGTTAACTCAAGAATTACATGCAATATTACTTTAAATTTTTAAAATTATATAGAAATGTACATGTATAAATGTGTGTTTCCATATCTGTTATCTTTCTTCTATCAATCTATTTATGAGTCTGTCTTTTTCACATACCCCACCCAGATCCTTCTCAAGTTCCCGAACATTGGCCACAAGAAGGGGAGATCAAGATTCATGATTTGTGTGTCAGATATGAAAATAATCTGAAACCTGTTCTTAAACATGTCAAGGCTTACATCAAACCTGGGCAAAAGGTATGGAATTCACTATCATTGGATGTGTTTTATGCATAAAACTTCTGATGGATCCCAGGCCATTTTCACTGAAGCTCTTTAAGGTTAGTCAATTCTACTGCCATCTAAGGTCTTCAAATAAAGTAGGTAAAGTCTCACCAGGCTCTCACAAGATCCCTTGCATTATAAAGGTCAAATTGTCTGAAGAAAAGGTAGAGACAGGATCTGTGTACAGTTTGTGTTCTCTAAGTCATGTTGTGATTCATTAACCTCCCATAAAGATCCAAAAAGTCTACACTAGACTGGCTTTCTTTAAGATTTATTTTACTTATTTGAAAGACAGTTACAGAGAGAGGTAGAGACAGGGAGAGAGAGAGAGGTCTTCCATCTGCTGGTTCACTCCCCAAATGGCTGCAATGGCCAGAGCTGGGCTGATCCAAAGCCAGGAGCTTTTTTTAGGTCTCCCATGAGGGTGCAGGGGCCCAAGGACTTGGGCCATCATATGCTGTTTTCCAAGGCCATAGCAGAGAGCTGGAGTGGAAGTGGAGCAACTGGGACTTGAACCTGTGCCCATATGGGGTGCTGGGGCTTTTAACACACTGTGGCACAGTGCCTGCCCCACTGACTTGTTTTGAAAACTTTCTGGTTTCAGGCCCATGGCCATCCCAGACATCCCACGAGTACCATTGCATTCATTCCACCTCTAGCCCTACAATGACTTCTTTTAGTTATTGTCAACAGAAGAAATGAGTCTACAGACACACACTCATTCTATTTTTCATTATAAGCCAATGCTTTTAAGATACAGTAGACTTAATTATCAGTCCGAAAATATACTAAATGTAAACACTTAGGCCATGAAAGGAAAACAATACAACCACATAGAAAAGGAATAAGAATGAAATCACTGAAGATTTGATGAAGATTCTATATGTTTATCTTGATGATGATAATTCATTAAGGGAGACTTAAAAAAATGATTGTAATGTAACTTTTGAAATGTAGGTGTGGTTTTATGTTGGTTAAAATGCTTGTGCTCATTCTCTGTGCTTTGTCTGAGTTCCCCTCTTTCTGAGTCACTGTTGCTTTCATAGGTTGGTATATGTGGCCGCACTGGCAGTGGCAAGTCATCATTATCCCTGGCTTTCTTCAGAATGGTTGACATATTTGATGGTAAGATGTGAGCTATAATCTTTGGCAATTTTTCAAAACCAGTTTAGACCATGGGGTGCTTCACTTAAAAAATACGTCAACTTCCTTAATTGTGCAGAAATGAAAAGTATTTACAAGCACTATGTCTCTACACCTGGTTTAAGGCAGTTATCCCAAGTAAACAGGCCAGCGGTAAAGAAACAGCATAGAATTGGGGACATGAAATGATTAGGTCTAAAGTCAGGTCTGGAGATTATGGCTCAAGAATAAAAGGCACTGACCTTGCCCAGCAGAGGGTGGAGACTGGCATTTCTAGAGGAAATAAGAGAAGACGGCCTTGCTTCCCTCACACTATAAATAGATCTTCTTTCCAACAAAGGAAAAAACTACAAGGAGATCAGTAATCTGCATGGTAAATACTGGAGCATGATTCTTGACAACCATCTTCTTACTAATGTTTGATGGTCTTGAGTTTTTCCCAATGGGGCAACCTTCTCTGTAAAGTGCCAAGCTCATATTAACAATATCCCCAAATATTTATTCACCCACAAAACTGTTAGTATGATAGGTAAAAGCATAGAACTCACTGAATCTGTGTTTTAACAAAGCAAAGTCACATTATTTAGTCTATCAAGTATCCTATAAATAGGCCAGGACATAAGCCATCTTGAGAGTGGATTTAGCCATGAACTACAAAACCAGCAAAAGCAAGTAGTTAAAATTATTATCTGTGATGATGATGATTAGCACTTTCTATTTTTATTGCACTTGAGAGTTTATATTCTTTGACTTACTTGAAAGCTTTGTGAGATAAAGAGTTTAATTTTTCAACAGCAAAGCTGAACTATGGTAAGTGCACTGCTTTGCTGTTAGGATTCAGGAATAGGGTAACAGCTATCCGTGGGTTAGTACTTGGCTTTCCTGTGGCTAATAATAAAATACGTAACTTTTTATGGACATTCTACTGGACTGGCATTATAAGACAAATACATGATAAAAAGACAGCTGGAAAACTTTTCATCAAAAAAAAATTATGTGGTTATGACATTGGCTTAGTCCTCATGAGTTCAGAAACATGATTTCAGGCTGCATGTGAACTACCAATGACTTGTTCTCTGTTTTAAGAGATAATATACTTTCTGAAAGAGTTTAAGATTAATCACCCTTGCCTGCCGTTGAATCTAAACCCACCTGGGGAAGGACTGCAGCTGCCATTTTTAGCCTGGCTTGCTACCTGAGACAATACTCGGTGGCAGGGTATCATCTTTGCACAAAAATGAGATGTCAGATGAATCTGTCAAGTTGAAGAAAGAATAATGGGACTGCACACATCTTTATAGGGCTATACACAGTGTAGAGAAATGTGTTAAAATATGATATACATTGTAAGATTTCCTTTTTTATTTGCTAAGTACTCTTAAATCAATGCAGAAATGCATGACAGACAAAAATCCTGGTCATCAAAGAACTTATATTCTAGTTGGAGAGGGGATAATTGCAAAGATAAGTAAATGCAGATAGAATGTGAGGTTCTGATAGATCCCTGGAAGAAAAAATAATAATAAAACAGGGAAGGGGAGGATAAAGGAATTCTAGAAGGAACTCAAAAAGGAGCAAATGTAAACAACAAAACTGAAAACCCATTTAGGATATGTGCCTAAGAAATATAAACTCTCACTAACATGTATTTTTCTTTCTAAAATTTATTTTTTTATTTTAAAGACAAAGATATTCCACCCACGGTTCACACATCAAATGCCCACAATAGCCAGGGCTGTGCCGAACCTCAGCCTTAATCTTGGGGCTCAGTCTGAATCAACCACATGGGTGTCAGTGATTCAAGTACTTGAGCCATCATCTACTGCCTCCCGTGGTGCACATTAGCAAGAACCAGGATCAGAAGTTCAGTAGCCAAGACCTGAGCAGGGCACTGTGATATGGGACGTGAAATGGCATCCCCAGTGGTAACTTAGCAGCCGCACCAAACACACACCCCTAAAATGTGTATTTTCCTAGAGATGCATTATGACAGGTCTGATACTGAAATTGAAAACTCCATTTCTTCCTTGAAGCAGGAAAGAAGTTGTCATTTGTAACCAACAGAGATTTTATGTGATTTTACTACATGCCTGTCATTTTGGTTTCTCCTTACAGGAAAGATTGTCATTGATGGGATAGATATTTCCAAACTACCTTTACACACACTGAGGTCTAGACTTTCAATCATTCTGCAGGATCCAATACTATTCAGTGGTTCTATTAGGTAAGTGACAAATACAGCAAAAAAAACTTGGGATTTACTCTTTGGCCTTTAAGAAGGATTTATTTTAAGAATTGTTTTTCAAGTAGATAGGAAATAACACTATCAAGATAGTAAGATCAAATACTAAGGAACTTCAAAAGTTTGAGAAATGACATTCTGAGATTAGTCTATGTTGGTGCATACTTTGAAATTCATGCATACTTTTCCATAAAACATGTTCCTAGGAGCTTTCTGAAGACCCCTTATATTCTAATAATTGAGATTGGGAGACCCTAGAATTGCTAATGAACCCATAAAGCCTAATCCCTTAAATTTCCAGCTGTTTCTCCCTTTCAGTTTGATTCTACAGAAGCCACTATGTCTCTGAATCTGGATTTTGGGCCATTTCTGAGATATTCTATCCTATAGCCACCTGCCAAACTCTTGGTCTCTGGCCTGGCCTTGGCAGACATTCTGAGTAGACTCATCCTTTTACCTAACTCCAATCTCTGAGCTTTACTTTCAGTCCAAACCACTGTGGAGAAACTGCTCCAGTCTTTTCTAGTCCTGATTCTTAGTCTCCCTCCACCCCACCTCCACCAAAGAAAGAGGTCTCTACTGCTATTTGCTAAACTTTAAATATATGAAATCCATACATAGTTGTTTTTTCAAAATGTACATTCTTCATGAACCTTCTTAAGTATTCTTGTAGTATCTGATTAAATTCTCAAAGCTTTAAATTCTGTAGAAGTTCTGGCTTTATCAAGCTATTTACTAATACCATCGTTAATTCCTATCTTTGAGTATATTACTTGTGAATGTTACTGCTGTGGTTCATGCCATACACGGTACCTAAAAACAACGTAAATTGTCATGTAAATCAATATATTGTGAATCACTTCCACAGGAATATGTTAACAAGACATTGTTCACGTTATACCAAGCATAAAGAAGGAGTGGTTGGATTCAAGTAATGAAACTGACCCTATCTCATGTATATAAACTTCCCTATGGATGCAATCAAAACCATCTTTTTATGACATTAAGGTCATTCCTTCATTGATCAAGCATGAAATCACTGCCTATACTGTTCTAAGTGTTGAATGCACAGCAAGAACCAAAGAAAGAGAAACACAGAAGCAAATAAACATAGAAGTTCACCTATCTTTGTTCCCTAATTAAATGATTTTTCCTTACAGATTTAATTTAGATCCAGAGTGCAAATGCACAGATGACAGGCTCTGGGAAGCTCTAGAAATTGCTCAGCTGAAGAATATGGTCAAGTCTCTATCAGGAGGTCTAGGTATATTTTCCAAGTAATACACTGATCACTTTCTTCTGCAATGAGTTCTGCATATTTCTATCTACACTTCATGCTGAAATCACTGAATTCTAGTGCTTAGTCCCCTTGTGTTTCAATTAGTCTCTTAAAGGTCGATAGAACTTTTCAGAATTTAATGACTGCCCATGGGGTGGGAGAGGATGAGCAAATCCCATTCCTTGTGAGCACTTGAGAATACTCCAGTTAATTCCTGTATCTGCTTTGTCTTCTCCTGCTGTAGGGACAGGCCACTGTAATCTGAATTCCTTGCATTCATTGCTGCTCGGCTCACAGACTACACACTTACTCTCAGGAGGTGGAGGAGTCCCTTGCAGGATGGCTAAGGTTGAGAGCTCTATGTGCCATTCAGGAAAAGGCCATTTCTCCTCGGTGGGAGCCACTGTCCACGCTGTCAGGAAATCATTTTCCTATTGTTGATATGGCACAGTTGTTAGTTTACTTGGGACAGTGGCCTACTCAAGCATATTACATCCATACCATATTCAATTTCTTAAAAACCTCTACTACAAAGTAGCAATTCATCTCTCTGGACCCTAGAGAAGGATATTAAATGAAAATTATAAAAAAAAATCTCCAAGGTCTTACTGTACTCAAAATGCTTGAAAACAGTTTATATCCCATCAGGAGGCAATTCACTATCTGTTGTCAAAAATAGGATGATCCAGGGTCATCTTAATTTTCCCAAAGTCTTGCTTATCCAGGAGGAAGTCCTTGTACCACTGTTACACACAACATATTTGTTCCTGCTTTCCCCAAGGAAAGGGGCAGCAGCATTACCTTAGTGACATCCTTGATTCTTCCTCTGGTTTAGATGCAGTTGTCACTGAAGGTGGGGAGAACTTCAGCGTTGGGCAGAGACAGCTGTTCTGCCTCGCTAGGGCCTTTGTCCGCAAGAGCAGCATTCTCATCATGGATGAAGCGACGGCTTCCATCGACATGGCCACAGTGAGTGCATAGTCTGTACTGTACACATTGGTAGGCTGGGGAGATATGCATGGCAATTACTACTTCCACTTCCCTGATGTGATCCTGAATCTTTAGTTCTATTGTTTTGAGTGAGTTCTCAACTCTCCTTGATCAAACCATTGAGAAATGATACATGCTTTAAAGGAGTTCCCATTACTAATAATCAAAAAGTAAATTTGCCATCACTTTTCTTCTCTCCTTATTTTAATCTCTTTGTAAGTTCAGGCCTGCAGAAATATTCTAAGGAAGGTAAAATTCCCAAATTATTTTTAACTGTTAGTTGGAAAATAATAATTGCATGTGTTTGTGGGTTTGTAGTAGGATGTTGTGATCCATGTAAACACTGTAGAAAGTCCATTAAGTCAGTCATCATATCTATCACATCAGTGATTTGTCATTTTTTTTTTTTTGCAGCAAGAACATCTAAAACCCATTTTAGCAACTTGGAAAGTGTAATCCATTATTATTGACTATGTCACCATGAAGTCCAATATATCACTAAAACTGTTGGCTATTATCAAAAGGCAAAGCTCAGAAGCACTGGCAGATACAAGAGTGTAGATTAGTATGGCTGTTGTGGAAATTAGTGAGAGGCTTTTCAAAAATCTGCAAATACAGTTTCCATATGATCTGGCATTCTCGCCTCGTTATTTATCACAAGGAATTTAAGTCAGTATTTCACAGAGATAACCTGCAGCTCCATGTTCATTGCATTGCTATTAACAAAAGCCAAGATATAAAATCAACCAAAGTGACCATAAATGAATGAATGGATAAAATGTGGTGTACACACATACCATGGGATACTATACAGTTTTTTAAAATATGGAAATCCTGTCATGTACAACAGTATGAATGAAACTGGAGGGCATTAGGCTAAGCAAAATAAATTTCTAAGGCAAGCAAGAAGGACGTCAGTTGTAAGTTGATCCCAGAAACAGGATAGAAAGATGGCTCTTGAGGCAAGGGGCTGGATGAGAAAGGAGAACATTCATCAGTTTCCATTAGGTTGAAGGAACAAGTTTTAATGATATGTTGCACTGCATTTAAGCATCACTCTTTGAAAAATGTTCAAGACAGTCAAATTTCAGGGCTCAGTTGATCAGAGTCCTGCACCATATTCTAGTATGATGCTATAAAAGTTCTAGAATACAGTATGTAAATCTTTAATCAGTTTTAATGATGACCAAAAGCAACCATTTACAAAAGCAATCTGAAGAAGGTGGATTTGCTAGGATTAATAATGAGCTTTGTGTTTTCACGATAAAAAGCCAGAAACTTTGCCCGTTCAAAGAAATTATTTAAAAGTGTCACGTATGTCCAAGACAACCTCGTCTGGAGAAAATGTCATGTTAAGATGCAAATTGTGTATGGGTTAACAATGTTATTCTTTTTTTTTTTTTTTTTTTTGGACAGGCAGAGTGGACAGTGAGAGAGAGAGACAGAGAGAAAGGTCTTCCTTTGCCGTTGGTTCACCCTCCAATGGCCACCGCGGCCGGCGCGCTGCGGCCGGCGCACCTCGCTGATCCGATGGCAGGAGCCAGGAGCCAGGTGCTTTTCCTGGTTTCCCATGGGGTGCAGGGCCCAAGCACCTGGGCCATCCTCCACTGCACTCCCTGGCCACAGCAGAGGGCTGGCCTGGAAGAGGGGCAACCGGGACAGAATCCGGCGCCCCGACCGGGACTAGAACCCGGTGTGCCGGCGCCGCTAGGCGGAGGATTAGCCTAGTGAGCCGCGGCGCCGGCCAACAATGTTATTCTTTTAAAAGTTAATTTGAAGTTAAAAGTTTGCCATCAGAAAGCTAAGGACAAAAAAATGATACCCACACACATACTCGACATTCTGTCAAACTATCCAACCAAAGTGAATTAAGTCCAAGATAGTGAAGAGACTATTATAACTGAGATACTAATTTGACATCATTTTTCCTATTAAGAATTCTAATCAAGGTGCCTATGCGAAGTAATATAATTTAAATCAACATAATTTAAAGCAATCAAATGGTTTCTCATCAAGCCATTTTATCAAGTAAGTGGAAGTGCATCAAGATTAATGTTAATTACAAAGATTTAGCAATCCTGGGGTTATTGTAAGGATAATCCTGCTGGGGCACAGGGAGCAGAGAGACAGATTATTAATTAACTGGCACTGAACCATTTGGAAGAAAGAAAGAACATCACATTAAGACTTAACTAATGCAGTTTTCTCTAGGAAAGAGATGGAAATTTTACCCAGAATATCTTTTAAAATATATTTTTAAAAAAATGTGCTAGGAATAAAAATGGGTCCTGCCTGAAATGTTCTTTATTGGATCAAAATCCAAATTTTTGGCCTGGGTTTGTTTTGCCCTTTTTGGACTCAAAGGTTAATACCTTGGGTTTTGTTGATTTTTGAGTATTTGTAGTATAGTGGAAGTGAACAGTTTTAAAGATTACATTAGTCATTTAAGCAGCAGAGAGAGACTGGGAGAGAGAGAGAGAGAGAGAGCTCCAATGCACTGTTTCATTCCCCAGATGCCTGAAGCTGTCAGAGCTTGACCAGAGCTGAAGCAAGGTACTCAGGCCAGGTCTCTAATATGGGTGGCAGGGACCGAAGTAGCTGAGCCCTCAGTGTTAACCCGCCTGGGTCTGCAGGAAGTTGGCAGTCAGAAGCCAGAGCCGGAAATTGAACCCAAGCACCCTGCTGTGGGTGTGGACATCTTCAGTGCTAGGCTAAATGCTCACTTTGGCAAGTCAACATTTTGATGTTCAAATGCTTTGTTTCCTCTTTTGGGTTCCCTGGTGCAAAATCTTAGTGACTCCATGCTGATCACTGAGTTTTATTTGCACTTTGAGGACACCGATCAACTCCAACATGAGCTTGCCGCTAGGGACTGCTCCCTCTGTCTTCCACTGAAGATTCGGGAGTGAGAGTACTCAGAAGGGATTTGACATGTTTGAGGGACACAATGTTGTGGCCAGAGGAAAGTAGTCCCAAGAAGGTTGACGCTTGATTGATTTTTTTGGCAGGAAAACATTTTACAGAAAGTGGTGATGACAGCCTTTGCAGACCGCACCGTGGTCACCATAGCTGTAAGTATGGGAGCCAGGAGTGGTGTACTCCACTTTGCTGATTGTTCTAAGATCCTATAATCTTTATGCTGGAGCACTTAAAATATATCTGTTGAATTACCTATTTCTCTGCTAGTATTTCCATGTCTGTACAAAAAGGAAACACAAGCATATTTTGAAAGCCTTGTTCTTTTTCCAACTATCTGCTCTACCTAACTCCCTCAATTCCAGTCAGACATCCGAAATCTAAGGGTTCCAGTAGGTCATGCACCAGGTACAGAAGATAGTTCATATGGAATAATTCTCTTCAGTTTTCTGATGGTCTAATGAACTCAAGTGCAAAATTTCTCGATTATCAATTCTGCTACTATCTATACTTTTTTTTTTTTAAAGAAGACTGAGATATCTCACAGCAGCAGGTACTTTCTTTTAGATGGCCCCAACCTAATGGAACAATTGCTTAAATCCCTGTAATTCATGTCACAATTGACTTAAAATAGGCAATGGTGTCCTGTCTCTTCCTCTTTGTAGAGAGATGAATTCTTGCTCACCTTAGATTGATGCTGAACTAATTTTTAATGGAGCCCTTGCTCATCCTTCCTCCTACTGATTCTCTTCTCTCCATTTCTCTCTCCAGCACCGTGTCTCTTCTATTGTGGATGCAGACCTTGTTTTAGTCTTTTCTGAGGGTATTTTAGTGGAGTGTGACACTGGTCCAAACTTGCTCACCCATAAGAATGGACTTTTTTCCACTCTGGTGATGACCAACAAGTAGACCGCCGTGATCTACTCTGCCAAGTATCCCATTCTCTGGTAGTTATCTTAGTGGCATCCCCTCCCTAAGGCCCTGCTAATGCTGTGATTGATGGGGAGGGCCAGGGTGAGGGAACTAACTGCAGGGTGTTCTTACACAAATCAGCTCAGTGGGGTGCTCCCCTTATGCCTAATACTGAATGGTAAAGCTGCTTTCAAATGTATACGTGCATGAGGTTATTTATGAAAGTAGAGAATGGGTTTACCTCCCCCTTAAGGACCAGTTTCATTGTTTCTTGAGGATGTTTTGTAGGCATCCTTAACCAACCATAGCCATTCCTTACCTGCCCTGAGGAATGCACCGTTTGATTTAAATAATTACTTAACTGTTAAGAGTTGTATACCATGTGCTTGCTATGGTTGCATTGTCTGGTAAGTGCTGTGTGGCAGAAAGAGCACCCTTTAAAGTGCAACATAGTCATGATAGCAGAAAAAGATGTCTGATCAATGCCCACCTTCTGAAAACTGTGCCCATTCTCCCGGTGAACTCTGTGGTTCCTCTAGCCTGGAGGACAGTCATCAAAATAAGTCATTTCAATAAGGCATAAATGATTTAAGGATTGAGAAAATTGACTAATTTGAAAAATAGTTCTCTAATAGTTCCAAGAATTTTGTCAATGTAGAAGAAAGTGAGATATGTTGGATAATAGAGAACTTTCTATTGCCCCTACCTGACTTTGGAGAGAGGGAGAAAGCAGACCCTTCCCTACTCCAAAGACTGATTTTCTTTACTCTGCATGAAGCATGGAGTGCTTGGGTGGTCTTAGTGTGCATCTAAAAGATTATTTGAGCACCATTTATATTTTTGATCAAAAAATTATACCCTCTTACCCGATTTCTGCTCTACTTTCACCGAGTACTTTTCCATTGTCTTCTGCACCTTTCGCTCACCCATTCTTTATTTCAAGACTACCAGGGTGAAGGTGGCCACTAGGACATCTAGAATTCCCCTGTTCACACCATCCAGTGGTGAGGGAAGAAGCATGGTAGGATTCTTCTGAATCGCAAAACTCCTCCTCCTCCTAACAGGCTCATAGAAAGAAGGACCACTATACACTTGCACTCCTTGTAGAGCCATCCTCAGCTCTGTTAAGAGTGATTATTTTTCCCTTGTAGTCTAAAAGTTGTTGTTTTACTTTTGTCAACTTCTGCTGAAAACTGTGAAATGTCTTTAAAAGATCATTTCTCCAGCTTCTACAAAGAAGCCCTCACACACCACAGCAGCCCATGGTCTTCATTCTTAATGAAATTTTAAAAATACTCCAGATGAACTAATCTCATTAACACAGTTACAACTGACACCATACTTTAAAAAAAAAAAAAACTGTATTAGTGTGGAATAAACACCAACCGTATTTCTGTTAGCCAAGATTTTTCCCCAATATTTTTAGACTATCAAGGCAATATTCATAATGCTGCAGTTAGAGACAGAGGCCGAATTCTGTTTTCCAAGGTATGATAGGGTTGTAAAAGATTTAATAACTTCTTGAAGGGAAAATGCACAATACCTATTAAATAGTCTGGTAAGTATAGTTTATATTTTTCTAAAAGCTAATCATTTTCCTCTCTTCTGATATTTCCTAAATCAGTATCAAGTGTTCCCACCATTCAGCTTGTCTATGGGGGCCGAAATAGTGGTGCAGGTTGTGGGCTGCACGATTGTTGAGCTCCATCTGTGTCTCTTTGCCCCTGAGCCAGGACTGCTTGCTTTTCTGAGAGCATCAACACCAAAACTGCCCCATGGACAGGGCCCAGCATGATGCAGGCCTTAGCCTCTGGGGACAGCTCAGGTTGCACTTAGGAACTTTATGTAGCACAATAGATGCATGTCTAGGTTTGGAACTCTGGAGAGGGACTCCCATCAGCATGCTAATATTTCAATGTGCGGGGTCTAGGTCCAGTATAGCAACCCTCTCTTCTCATACTGAACACTCAAGATGTGAGCAGTCCAAATGAAGAAGTGTTTTAACATGCATACTGGATTTCAAAGACAGTGCTAATAGAAGAATGTAAAAGAGCTCATGAATAATTACTATATTGGTTCCATGTCAAAATCAAAACATTTTTGATAGATTGGGTTATAGTATATTATGAACACATTTTCACCTGTTTCTTAAACTTTCAAATATGGTTCCTAGAAAATTTGAAGTTACACATGGCTCACATTGTATTTCAATTAGACAGTGCTAATCTTAAGAGTAGAAAAAGGCCTGCCACAGATTTTACTGTTCTAACTTATAAAAGGAATGCCAGTTGATGTCTACTCCCTCTTTGTGTGTGTCACACAGGGGCAGAACTGTTTTAACAAAGATCTCATTTGATCCTCTCCACCAGTCTGTTGAGGCAGGGACACTTTTTACCACCCACGGTTAAATGTGAAATGGGAAGCGTGGAATGTTAGATCTTTAGCTGCAGGCTGTAGAACCCACGGGCAGGCCAGCCCAAGTCCGAGTCCCGTCTTACTTAAGAGCCTCCACTGTTAACCCGAAGGTTAATCATGACAGGCGAGTGCTCCTTTTAGGTACCAGGTCCCCCCAGTGAGAGAATTTAGTCAAGGGGGGGACTGTCTCCTATTTTGAAGTTAGTGAACCTGACTCTAATGCTGGTGCTATTCCTTGTTTGCAATGTGATCTCTTGTTTTTGCCTTATCTCTGGAAACCCAAATGGTTTCTCCTATATAGTAGAGAGCAACAGTACCCACAGTCTGGTATGTGTGTGGAGCACTTTGTATTTGGCGTATGTTCAACAAGTGGTTGGTTTTATTAGTAATTACTAACAGCAAAGCATCTCTCTAAGGGTACCATGCACAAATAAAGAACAGGTGCATGGCAGAGATCTCAAGACTGCGATGGCATGGGCATGTTTTAAAGTGCTGGATAATCCATATACTGCTGCATGTTGGGATGGACTTCTCCATGTTATATTTCCAGAACTGAACTGCTTTCCAAGGTTCTGCAATTGGAATTTACCAACTCACACAAATTCTCCACTAAGATATGTGGGAACAAAATACAACCCGACTGGTTTCTGATGACCTCTCTTAGCATTTACATATTTGACAAACAGTTATTAACCTCTTTACACTTAAGTTTGTGTGGAAATGACAACACTGCTATGTTAACTATATTCAAGATAATACAGCTCACTTACTATCTAGCCATACTGGCCAGTTGTAAAAGTATGTAAACAAATGACACTTCAGATAAAAAAAAAGGGGGGAGGGGTTGGGTTTCCTGCCTCTCAAGGCACATCATGAATAATCCAGGAAATGGTCTAGAAAGTAATAATTCTGGCTTCGGCTTGCAGTCTGAACTCTAACAATGCCCTGTATTCTTTGCACTTACAGCACCGGGTTCACACCATTCTGACAGCAGACCTGGTGATTGTGATGAAGCGAGGAAATATCCTAGAATATGACACGCCGGAAAGCCTCCTGGCTCGGGAGGATGGAGTATTTGCCTCTTTTGTTCGTGCAGACATGTGAAGGGTTCTTAAAACGAGGCGTGCGTGTACAACCACGCTGTCATAACCTATTTGTGGATTATATAAGCTTGACCCTCATAAAATAGCATCTTAAATATTTACAAATTTTGTACAAGCAAATAAGTTGATATTTCTCTGTCCTATTCTTTAAAATGGTTTTCCAGAAGTATTACTGTTGAAAATGTTCATTATTGATGTTTCTCTACAATAGCAGTTGTATTACAACATGTAAGCTATTCTAGGTGGTGACTCTAGGAAAATCTGTTGCATCTGTGTGTCCAGATGAGGTGACTGTGCCTTCACCTGAATCCAAATACTTCTGAAAAGTTCCACAGAGATGGACAAAAATGGTTCATGGCATGTAGATAATTGGAAAACATAGTGTTTCCTGAAAGTTAAACTTAGAACAGGATCAATACCCATTAATGCAATCTTAAAAATACTTTATAAAAATTGAACCAATCTCCTAAAATACTGCTGCCGTGAAATGTTTTATAAGGCTGCATAGGCATAATGCTTGTTACAAGTTATGCCACATTCTCTCACAGAGAAATGAGTTTTTCCCCATAGTGATAATGAGTTATGATATTTTAAACTGATATTTCTACATAGCCACTAAACTGAAAATCATGGTTGGCTAGGGCTCATAACTTTCGGTTACTTGAGTAAATGTTTGTTTACAAAACTAAATTGACTGAATAAAGTCAAGGATGATGACTTTACATAATTAACCACTTAGTACATTATATATATTGTTGAAGATAAAAGTTCACCTTGAAATAATATTTAATATATAGGTACTTATACTTAACCAAATTTTGTTTGATTAATCAAATCAATTTTACTATTTTCAATTTTAAATACTTATTATAAATGCATAATGCTTTATTATCAAATCACAGGGTTACTGATATCATTGAATGCAAAAATACTTATCTGAAAGGCTCGACTTTTTACTGTTCCTCATGATTCACTGAGAGTTTGCTTAGCTCCAGATTAGAATCCTAAGACTTGTCTGAGTATCTGGTATTTGAGATCTGGGACCATGTCGTCTTTGTGCTCCTAGCACTAAATATAAATGCTCAGCCCACAGTCACCCTTCATAAATATAGTTGGCTGATCCATGGATTAGTTTTACTGCTAGCCATGTACCTATAACCGTGGGTTATTCTCTACTGTCCTGTGTTGTGTGTATTCTATTTATTCTCTAGTATGTATGAATGTTTTTATTCGACAACAAATGTGTTTATTCTATACGATATATGAAAACATACTGGATTGCTATTACCTAATAAATTACTCTGTTTGCACAGTTAAAAGGGTGGTTATTCCATTGCATATCAACCAGGACTAAGCCATAGATCTAACTCAACACCACTTGCCAGCCAATGTCTGGTCTTACTTTGATGATTTTGTTTCATGTTTACCAGAGTCATGCACGTCATTACTTTCATAGATATAGGCTCTAGGGAATTGTCCTGTAAATGCAGTAACTAAGTAAATAATTTTTTAGCATCTCTAATTACACAACTAGATATCTGGACTTTTCCCCAAACTTTACTGATCAGCTATGGTAGTCTTCCAGTATAGCTTTTGTCACACATTCTTTGATGTTCTTTGATTTACAATGCTATGATAATTCCCTTATTCACCCATTATCTACGCTTAAATGCAATTACCTAAGCTTAACCTCTTAGCCTAAGAAATATTAGGTGGGGCCAGTCCTGGGGTGCAGCAGGTTAAGCTACAATTTGCAGTGCTGGCATCCCATACAGGCACGAGTTCAAGTCCCGGCTGCTCCACTTCCCATTCAGCTCCCTGCTAATGTGCTTGGCAAACACTCAAGAATGGTCCACATCTGTGGGCCCCTACCCCTATGTGGGAGACCCTGAAGAAATTCCTGGCTTCAGCCTGGCCCAGCACTGACTGTTGCAGCCATTTCAGGAGTAAACCAGAGGATGGAAGATGTCTTTATCTCTCAGCCAAGGAGATGTATCCTGTAACTTGTGTTTCATTGTTTTCTTTAGTGACTGTGTACTATTTACATCAGTTTTTCTCAAGTGATAATAGGTTTCTCCTAGAACAAACTCTCCAATCAAAGTTTCAATCTGTATTTCCAGTTGAGAGCCATAATTAACCAAGTTGAGAGAACATCAATGCACTGCAGTTATTAGGCTGCTTCCTTTTTTTATGGTCCATGCTATGTATAAAAAAAAAAAAAACTGACAGTCTGACAGTGACTTGAACATGAGTCCTGTTGTTGCTGACACCACCCCCCACTGCTAAGATGCGCCTCTCAGTCAATGGACAAGGTGCCTCAGGTCATTAGAAAGGGAACCTTGCTTGGTGAACTGAGTCTAAGCTCAGAATATCCAGAGGGACCTGGTGAAGTGTTTTCTTGTTCTGTCAGTTACTCCGCAAAAAGTGATCTAAGGATAAAGGTTGTTGACAGAGATTAAAAGCCTTGTTTTTCCATATCTGAATTAAAGAATATTGTATAAATGATTCAACAGCTAAGTTTCAGTTCATATCACCATGTTTATCTATATATACAAACGTGGTGGGTGTGCTGAGGTTTTTCCTACTGATTTTGCACGCTATGGAAGAGAGGACAATTACCTGTTATGATGATTCTCCTTCTCACCTTCACATTTTAAAACATTATTTATTTGATGGACACAGACAGATTCACTCCCCAAATTCTTAAAACAGCAATGCCAAAGTCTGGAGCCAACAATACTAACCCATTCTCCCACGTGGGTGGCAGGGACCCAACTACTTGAACCCTCACCTGCTATCTCCCAGAGTGTGCATTAGCAGGAAGCCAGGATCAGGAGCAGATCTAAGACCCAAACCTAGGCACACTGATTTAGGATGCACACACCTCAAGCCCCTTCTTAACTACTGTGCAAGCACCTGCCCCCACTTTCACATTTTTCCTGCAGGTGTCAGCACTGAAAAATGCATGTTGATATAGTCCATCTACGTATCTAGTACATGAGATTTAAATTTTTTATGCACAGTAGCAAATTGCCCTTAGCCATTTTACTAAGGTCAACAATGCCCTACATCCAAAATAACAAAGATCAATGAAGCCCTAACAAATTAATTAAGTTAATTGGCTCTAAGAGAAAAGCATTCTGTGACTCAGTGTCACCAATCACCATGAACCATCTCCAATTACTCCTTAGTAATGACCAATTTTTAGACTGCTACTTTTATTACTTAACCTGCCCATTGAAGGTGTGAACAGTGCAACTTGGATACAATAGTTTAGTGCTACTTTATTCCCATTTTTCTTTAACAAATGGCTACTTGTTGCTATTCATATACCTTATCCATTATCCTTAGGTAAAAGGTTATTGAACTTGAATATTATCTAAGCCAAGTGGATTTGGGCCAACTATTCCATATGTGAGGATTTGCTCTTTGACTCATAGTAGTTTGGGCTTTGTTCCAATACTACTCAAATAATTTCAAAATTCCTTATCTCTTTCAGACACCCAGAATGTTCATCAATCCTTTGAACTTAGACATAAACAGAATTCCCAGTTATTTGAACCCACGGAAGTATATAGTTTCCTTTCTTTTATAGGTTACGACCTATCCATCATCCCTCACGTACACATGCATGGGTGCACATACACATACACAGTCACACTGTACTCTAACTTGCAGTCTTAAAGAAGCATACAGCTGCTATGAATATTTACAACACATTAACAAAGCAGAGGTAACTCAATTGCAGGTAGTCGGAATGGATGGCATAAAGAGAAAAGTTCTTACACTCAACAATCTGTCTTTTCCAGATTTAAAGCACCTAAGACATTTTACATCTAGGTAGATCATAAGAAGTGTTTCCAGTCATGATTCAGTCCCATGCCCCTTTTTCAATACTTTCCAGATAGCACCAATAACACTTTGTTGTGTTATGGTGAACAGAATGTTTAGTCCAATGAAAGGGCAGTAGTAATTACTGTCATGAAAGGTGGAGACTGAGGCAACTAGAGACGGTGGTTGTCTCCTTACTAGGTAATACCGCAGGAAAATAGACCTTGATTATTTCACGGTGATTATTTGCTGATTATTACTCAAAGGTACCACATAGCAGAGAAAGTATGATTCAAGGAGATGCCTGGACAGTATAGTATATAGCCATAGTTTTGTATATTAAATGCAGTATTCAGAAATAAATACTGGACTTGGTGTGCAGAGAACCTGAGGTGAAATGATTTACCTTGCTTTGAATTCTGACTCAAAAGGCTGCACTTTTAAACAGCAGGGCAGGTTATGAGAAAGATCCAGGTGCTCTAGAATCTAAGAAAAGCAGATTCATTAGGTAAGGGGAAAAGCGAAGACTAGAACAAGTCAAGGGATCTAGCTAAGTAGAGTGCACTCCCTCAATCCCATCTCTCTGTATCCAGGATCTCAGTTTCTGGCAGTCCCATTTTCACCTCTGCATTTAGCCTTTATGAACCATTCCAAGCCCTGAGACTAAATCTTCTAGCTCCTCTTCCCACAACTATCTCCATTGCTCAGGTTGTTTATTTCAGTATAACAAACAAGGAATCTATCTTACCCAAATTATTGGTTCATCTTCTAACTAACCAGAAAACTGGGCACTATCACTTTGGATTAAGGGTCTATTTCTTCTCTGAAAGGCTGCAACCAGGCGGCACATGCCAATTAAAAATACACTTATAGAGGCCGGTGCCGCGGCTCAATAGGCTAATCCTCCACCTTGCGGCGCGGGCACACCGGGTTCTAGTCTGGTCGGGGCACCGGATTCTGTCCCGGTTGCCCCTCTTCCAGGCCAGCTCTCTGCTGTGGCCAGGGAAGGCAGTGGAGGATGGCCCAAGTGCTTGGGCCCTGCACCCACATGGGAGACCAGGAGGAAGCACCTGGCTCCTGCCTTTGGATCAGCGCGATGCGCCGGCCATAGTGTGCCGGTCACGATGGCCATTGGAGGGTGAACCAATGGCAAAAGGAAGACCTTTCTCTCTGTCTCTCTCTCACTGTCCACTCTGCCTGTCAAAGATTAAAAAAAAATTTAAAAAAATACACTTATAGAACATGTAGAGGGTAGTTCCAAGATGGCAGAGTAGGGAGTGAGCATACAGCTCCAATCCAGGAGAAGATAGTTTAAAAAAAGTTGAGAGAGTGTAGTCTCAGGGAAGAGCCAGAGAGAAAACAGCAAAGGAAACTCTACTGAAATTAGAGGGACATGGTGGACCCACGTGGAAGGCATGGATGTCCACAGCTTTGGACTCCAACAGCCAAGAGCCTAACCAGCAACTGAGAGGCTATGCACCAGCGCTGGAAAGTGAGGTGAGAGCAGACCCACAGCATCCCAAGCCACTGGCAGTAAAGCTGCAGAAGAGCTGAGAGGGAACCTGGCTTGCAGCCCTGTGGGGGATAGTGCACCTGTGAAACTAGAGGAGAAAAAAAAAAAGGATGGCACGTTTCTCTTTCCTGATCACTTCACAACAGCATCCTGTAAGAAGCTGGTAGAGTGGCACCATTTTTTTTTTTTTTTTTTTTTTGACAGAGTAGACAGAGAGAGAGAGAGAGAAAGGTCTTCCTTTTGCTGTTAGTGCACCCTCCAATGGCCGCCGCGGTCGGCGCGCTGCGGCCGGCGTACTGCACTGATCCGATGGCAGGAGCCAGGTGCTTCTCCTGGTCTCCCATGGAATGCAGGGCCCAAGTACTTGGGCTATCCTCCACTGCACTCCCTGGCCACAGCAGAGAGCTGGCCTGGAAGAGGGGCCACCGGGACAGAATCCGGTGCCCTGACCGGGACTAGAACCTGGTGTGCCAGCGCTGCAAGGTGGAGGATTAGCCTAGTGAGCCACAGCGCTGGCCAAGTGGGCACCATTTTGGACATACCTAACAGCTGTACCAGCTAGTTTCCATGCCCAGCAACCAGCCAAAAGGACGAGCGGAGACTCCTGACTCTGGTAGGGAGAACTACTGGGGCTAGGAGCTTGTGACTGTGTGAGGCTTCTATACCCAGACTGTGAAAAAAACTGAGGGTGTGTGGGAGGATTCACAGTGTGGCTGCGACTCACAGTGTGGCTGCAACTTTGGAATCTCCCACATGCTCAGGGCTTCCCCGTTACCAGGTGAGAGACATTTCTGGGAAATCTAAACTTGATGCCGGGGACTGCATAGATCCTTTGTGTGGTCCTTGGGACAGAGTGGACGAATATCATACCCACTAGAGCTAGCGCTCGGGTACTGGTCTCCTTTGAGGAGAGGAGCTCAGCTGAGCAGAAAACAAATTCCCGGCCGGTGCCACGG